TAGGCGGCGCTGTAGAACTTGTGGAAAAGCTGGTCATAACGCGCGAACTTGTCAAGAAGTTATAGATATATCTAGTTCGTCAAATATAGAGAGCGATAATTAATTTAATATATTGTGGTTGATTTATTTAGGTGTAAAGTTCTGTGCCAAGAAAAAGTGATCGACTCGGTGATATGATCGACTCGCTGATAAACCACGTTATACTTAATTTTATTATTTTAGTAATTTCTAAATAGCTAGAATTTTAGGTAGTTAAATACGTTATATAGAGATATAGTAGTTCTTTTTATACTTTTCTAGGCTATACAGCTTATTAGTAGAATAGTAGTTAGTTAATATAATATTTTTTTAAAAAACTTTTACTTTTTTATATAGTAAAGGATACCTTTTTTTAGGTAGATTTTATTAATTAATATAGAGAAAGCAGTAAGATTTAACCCCCGTTATAGACTATATAGTTATAGACTACCGTAGTCTACGTGTTATAGACCACGCCCTACTGGGATAGTTTTATAAGTAGAAGTTAGAATTTACACTGCCTCCCCTCTAAACTATATAGGTAACGTACACCTACTTCACACCAAATTACCTTTTGTTCAGGAGGGAGGGGAAGGATGATTTCATATATTACTTTTTCCCTGCCGCCGCCTTTAGTGACAAAGCGTTTTCCTTTCGGCCCTGTTTTTACACTTCGTCCAGATAATAGAGTTTAATTGAATGTGATTTGTATAACCATTGTACTATGCCAAACTGTCTTGAAGGACATGTACAAACTGCTTATTCCAAATACATATACACCTTCCAATTCTATGTCCCACCTTCTCACTCTTCCTAGTCGAAATAAATACAGCCTTTTGAAAGGTTTTTAACCCTGTTACTTGCTTAAGCTATAGGTTCCCTAGTAAAGTTACATTCCTCCCGCCCACGACGAAGTATAAAGGCCTATTTGGGCCTTTGGCTCGGAATAAACCTTGAGGGTGCATTATAACAGCTAGAGTTCCACACTCTTTACAAATAGAGTGATTTTGCCGCGGGTTTTCAATATAATAAACAATGTTTGTTAGTATACATATAACTAAGTTTATAACTTTTATAGTTGTTTTACAACCTCGATTTATAAACCATTTATCATAAAAGACGCTATAGGATTTATATCACATCTCTAATATAACACGAAAGTAGGAATAGGTTCAAATGCAAATCGAATACGAGGTAGCTGTTCAAACGTAAACCAAATACGAGGTGCCTAAATAGGTGGCACGGTCACCAAAACCACTTGAATCAATTATAATATGTAGGTTTCTTCAGAATTGATTATTTTCATACTTAATAACACTCGGCCCTCTTCTTTCTCTACAAGTTATAATAGCGTTTTTAGCACGGATTTTGTCCACTTCTTGGAAGATGCTCTCGGACGTTTATAATTATAAAAATCCGTGGCAAAATTGCTCTAATGCTAATTCGTAATGAGGAACAGGAATGTTGAACTGGTACTCGTTTATCGAATGTAAAGTAAATACTACTTTGAATAGTAATCTGGCTTTTTCCAGAGTCAACTGTACCATATAAAATGGAAGTGACGTCAAATCTATATGTGTCAAGATCGTATACATAACTCACTTATTTTTCCAAATGTAGACAATAATACTCTATACCTGAGTATATTTTTGATCAGAGACGGAGGAACATGAATTTTGACCAGATATCGATGTGTGCTATTGTAGCCCTCAAATAGACGAATTGATCAACACTACCAGTGATTCGTCAATTAGTACGCATGGTGGATTAGATGGTATTATTTGATCACTTCTAGGATGCGAATTTTTCGTCACTTTTATTAATAAATAAAGTTGGGTTTTAATTAAAGCACACCCCTCGCCTAAGAAAGTAAATAAAGCAACCCAAAAGGTGAAGTAATTAAAGCACAGTCTCTACGCATCAAACAAGCAAAAAGTGAAGCTATTCCAAGATGCGATTATTTCGCCTTTGGTTTACGCCCGGCACCAACTTTCGCTCCGCCTTGTCCCTTTTTTTTTAGTATTGTTACCTGTCTTTTTAGCGGGTTTTCGTCGTTTTTGCTATGGTGGTACTCTTGTCTCCTAGCTAGGGTCAGGGGACACAGACTCTTGTATAGATTTGTATGTGTTGTGGTGTTTACTTGCCACATTCCATTCCTCATTCCACACCCACCACCTCAGTCGTTTCACACCGTAATAAGCCATAACAAAAGCTCATTATAGAATAGATTATCATATTTGTGACGCCCATAATGGTATTCCGCAAATCTATTGTACGGCGAATACAATAGTCTAATTGGTCAAACCGGCGAATCCGGGGTTACCATAGCACAGATGGAGACTTCAAAGTCGGTTCCGCGGTAGCATAATCTTACAGTGTCTGCATTCCATTATCATAACAAGAAAAATACTAGACTACCAAACTATCGTGCCTTTCAACTCGTTCTCGAAGCAGCACCTTCCAGCCTACAAGCTATCCTCCCGCACCTTCAGACTCTTCACGTCTACGGGTCCCGCGTGATGTTCCCACCATCAGTACTCCGTGCAAGGCCCAAAGTAATAAATCAATAGGAAAAGCGGCGCAGGATATGGGTTGGGAACATCTTTAGCGAAATATGTACGACTTACGACTTTTCTGAAGGGGGTTGGTGATGCATGATCTGTGGAGTTGGAGTTGGCTTAATCGAGCTACTGCGATGTACTGGACAATTTCATAGAGATTAGAGAGGTTTGAATAGGGAGGAGGGAGAGCTATGGTGAGATCCTACACATATGAGATTATAGCTAGAACACTGGCTAGTAGCTTCTGCCTCATAAACCATCCACCATAGTATATATAATAATATGATCTTACGCAGGGTTACTCTGGTGTTTTGAACCCGATGGGCCTTTCAATCGCAAGAGCCATTCATCTCAGAAGATTAGATCAGATAAGACACATCCACCGGGAACGGATCCTAGTTCCATGAAATGCGAAATGTACTATTACATATCCAGCCAGCATGCTCCCCAAACTCCCCACAATATCCCATTTATCCCTCCCATCTTATACAGAGAAAAATGTGGCAGGCTCCGAACGCCCCAAGGTATCACTCAAATCCGCAGATCCATCCCCCATCCAAGCAACTCCATCGCAAAAAGCCAAATCATACATATCCATGCCTTCGTATTCACCATTGACGTCCTCCCCAATATCTCGTCATAGATTACCCCTTAATTGGTCAATGTGGGATCTAAGCTTCCCCAATCGCAAACTTGGAACTCATCAATTCATCCACGTGGGCCCGCTCAATCTTCGCATTTCCCTTTTCTTCCTCCCTAAGTAAGACAGCGAGGACTTCGATAGGAGGATTGAGCCCTAGCTTATGCGCGCGATACCATCGTTTTTGGCGGGCAGATCCTATCGCTGGCTTTATGCACATTAGTTACTGATCCTTCCCCACTCCACGTCTTAGAATGCTCAACACAGAAGACTTTGAAAGAAAAGAAAGGGGAGCCATACACCAAACTGCGAACTCATATCCCACAACCTCAAAATCTTCTCCTCAAGACTAACATCCTTCTGATGCACCCTCGGCGCCTTTCTCTCCGCCTCTCGATCCCGCCAGTACTTCTTGATCTGCGCCTCGGTGATATGACTTGCTTTTTCCTCCTCATCAGTCTTGAATTGTACTTGTGCTTGCGCAACTTCTGGAAGCTTCACATTTTCCTCTGTAACCTTCACATCCTCCTCTGCAATCTTGGGTTTCTTTGCGGGGGGTTCGGAAGAGGGCTTGCCGACGGGATGGGTGGTGGATTTGGTGACTCTGTTATTGGAGAAGGCTAGGGTTTTTTGGGTTCCTTTCGCGGCTGGGCCGCTGGATTTGCGGGGTGCGCGACGGGTTCCTGGCATCTTGATTTGAGGATATTAAGGATTCGGTTGAGGAAGGATTAGGTGGAGTGGGTTGTTGAGATGAGGAGGTTGGTGGGGGGTCGATGACGATGGGTTGGCGGTGGAGCTTTTGTTAACAAGGCAACCGCGAGGGTCTTGGCGTCCGTGGTTAGCGAGATTCTGGGGTAAGATATGGATCCCGACCCAACCCAACTCCCTTTATTCTTTCAACCTCAAACCAATGGAATTCACTTCATGACTGACTAACTCGCCAATTGAAACGAGTTTTCTTTCATTCACCTTCGCGAATTTATACAATTTTCCAATAGCGATTGGTTTAAAAGTTTGGGAGCAGAAAATTGGGTCGTCGTTGACGTCCTAGCTCCCAAAAACAAGGTTGCCCAACCTTTCCCAACAAAGACTTTGCGATATGCAACAAACCCTCTGGATAATCAGACAAAAAGATATGGAGACTCCCAACAGATATGGTGATGAATCACGGCAGAGGAAGAGGGGAGAAAGTGGGTAGGCTCATGTTTCAATCAGCTTCAGTTGCCAACGAAAACGATTTGTCTACGGTTACCTGTATCCATCAATTGTGGAGTTGAATAAAGTTGTATAAGATCATCACAAATCTGATCAAACCAAATCAACAAAGGCAAAAGATAGGATATCCAACATAAGAATCTATTGATCCTTCCTTTTGTAACCATATCCGAAGCACTGCAGTGAACCGCATTGTAGACGAGCGATTTCGCAACTCAAATCTTCAATACGTAGACTGTATCACCATATAGTCGTTATCAAATCCACCTAGAGATGTGTGGTATCCAGAAGCCCGGTACGAAGTACGGAGCTGGAGCTTTTTGGTTGGAGATTTAAGTTGGGTCTTGTGGAGGCTCCATACCCAGTACCCGCCTAGGGTAGCTTGGGGACACCAAGAGATACAGACTCGAGTGGCTTTCATCTTGAGGAGTTTGGACGCTTGGGCGCTTTAGAATCCCCATAATTTCTCATTGCTTTTGAAAATAATAACACTGTAATCAAGCTGCTTGTCCAAATCTGTTGGAACAACCAGATTGACTTTTCAGAAGTCGGCCGAATGAATAGAGTCGGAAAGTAGGGGCGTTTCTATTGATTACCAAAACCTAATTGTGAGTTCTTGTACTCACCGTTGGGATCTGGAAGGTTATTTCTAGGCCACTGAGCCCGGATTCTGGAGGGGGATCCACAAAGACCACAATACACTATGTCAATCTTTCCCCAGGCATCCAAAGAACGGCGGCGAAATCCCAAAGATGCGGAAACGTGTTTTGCTTCCCTAAGTTCGTCAGGGCAAGGTGGATTGAATTCGTGATAGACTCAAGAATATGAGTCAAACACACTTCTCGATGGTGTGCAATGACGAATCAAGGTATCAAGAGGAACCTCTATTAATCTTGTGCTATTCTCTATTAACATCGCCCCACCCCCCAAGATTTACATTACGGGTAACCAAAAACCAACATTACATTTCCAATTTATCAGATCTCATCGCAAACTCTCTCTCCACCAGGATGCCATCACTAAGATGCGCCGGCTTCAGTTTTCCCAGAGGCAAATGCTCCACATTAGCCTCTCTCGTATTATTCTCCAAACCACTAGTGAAAACATTAGTACCTCGGCAAATTAACCAGGAGAACCATCACTTACGGGTTTAATCTTCCCTCATAACCATTACTAAGATCTGAGTTGTCATTTATAGGAGTTCGTTGGTCATCGTAGCTCTTGGTGTATCCCGAGCCCCTGGATCCGAAGCTTCGACGCAACGACTGGTACCATTGGCTTTGGGCCATTTGTTTGAAGAGCGGGCGTAACATTGCCATGCAGGCAGCCATGATTTGGAGGTTGGCTTCGATGAGAGGCCAATATACGATTGGCGTGAGGAAGTCTTTCTTTTTATTAGCACTTGTTGCTGTGTCATACTAGCAAGATGCCTTTCATGATACTTACACGAAACGTCGGGCTGACCCTCAAGTTGATGTCCGACGAAGTTGAAAACTATCATCTTTGCGCAGCTTGCTGCGATTGACCTGGATAACTTTAGTACAGGGGAAAGCACTATAGATTTTCAAAGCCTCTACCACACTTACAGTATACCTATAAGGAAAATACTAGACACCGCAATTTTCTGCTTCGTGGGAAGCTTCAACTTCCAAACTGAGTAACAGAGTTAGCACTGGCAGATAATGTCTTGAAGGGGACCGTCTCACTCAGAGGAATAGGAACGACAAGAATCATGGCATCCAAAATAACATCACTATAAACCTGACTTAAATACATGGGGATCGCGTCGATACAATGTGGGTTTCCTCCCAAACCTGGCGCGTTCTTCCAGGATTCTGATATGGGAACACACTCAAACATGTTGGCAAAGAAGAATGCAACAGTCCAGCCGCTAACAAGTATGATCAAGGTGTATGTAACAATGTCGAAAATCTTCCCGCGGAATATTCGTCTGTACAGTAGAAGCATAGAGATCTTGGTGGGTCCAATTGCCAGCATTTGGCTAAGCTGGCCTGCGTAGAGCATCTAGGTCTCATTTAGCATGGTTTCAGTATTGTGTGAATCGTTCAGACTAACCTTAAGGAACCAAATGTATCTATCGTTCAGGATTGGCTGGCCATGTATATCGAAATCCATGTGCTGACCTTGATTTCCCTTCGCAGTGCCTAACGCTTTCAGCAGAGTCTACTTACACTGATTGAGATCACTTACCGACAATCATGAACACTGCTGTCACATAGGTAAAGACCTCGTCAAGGCATTAGCTAAGAGGCACAGCGGTAGGCTCCAGACTTACGAGAGCAAAGACTATAAGCCAATCATCCAACTCAATCGTATTCCTCCTTACTCGTCTAGCCATAAAGCGAAGAACAACAAATACCGTCGCAATGAGTGTCAGAACCGTCGCGAGTACATACTGTTCTGCTGGGGTTTGTTTCGGTGTGGTAAACATGACCAACAACGCCTTGTGGAGCGGAATCCAAGGAACACTGAATATCCCAAAAATTTCTCTCTTGTAAACTCCAAAATTGGAAGGGGATGTAAGCGTGGAGGATTTGGATATCTAGCCCAGCCACTGATAACGACATAAAATGGGTGTTACAGTATGTCTTGGCGGTATCTCTACAAAGGCAGAAATCCGTAGGAAGAAAACATGGCACAGCGGCTGTTTTGGAGATAACAGCGTCGGATGACAAGACTCAGGATTCACTCATGAGTAACGGAGTATCCGGAGCGGTATTGGCATGCGAGTTGTAAGCTGAAAATTGGAACTCGGAATTTAAACTGGTCATTGGTAGCGAATATGACAACTTTCAAGTTCTATCCGATTTCTTTGGATCAGTGGGGTGAAAAATATGGATCACATGTAGCAATCCTTTGTTCATAATCCTCCCACTTTGGCTTAGTCGAAAAAAGCCTATGGTACTGCTGCACTGTATCAAATCTAAACTTAAGGGTAGTAACACAAAAGATGTTACGATTCTGCAAGCCTCAAGAACTATCGTCTGGAAAGTATGGTACCGGAAACGCCGGCAATTACCCAGATCGATTTCATTTGATTTCAAGCCATGTAACGCCGTAAAAATGCTCGTATGCTCGCCTATGATATTTATATTAATCTGTCCGAACTTTGGAGTGGCACAAAGCTAGTGCACTTTGACCAGTCGGTTTGTGAGCTTCTTCCTGCCTACCTTGGCGATAAGGTGAATAACGAACTTCGGCGCTCTGGTATTACATACCCAGCTAAAAGACAACCCGCCCATTAGAGAGCTACAAGGAGAAATCGCTTGACTATAATCTTTGCCCAAAACCTGTCGTATAATGTATGGACTTATGGATATTTTTACTTGTACCGGAAAATTACAACAGTGATAACAGAGCGGCAATATAGGATTTATTTAAAAAGAATTGGAGTCAGGAAATCATTTCTATTTCTTGCCTCAATAACATCAAGACCGATTCTCAGTTCCTAACGCACTATTCGGTACGAAAGTATTTCGCAATTCCAAATCAACAAGACGACCATGGCATTCTGAAAGAAACGCTGGTATGATAAAAGTCCGTGGTACTATCGTCCCAAACTTCGTATCAGATCATATGTGCAATGACGACAACGCAATACAGGTTGGGACTCAAACGACAGCGTGAGAACTGCGAAACGATGGTATGATGGGTAAAGATATGACCCAGAAGCTGGGATTGGTGATGGAGTTTTCACAAATTATATCACAATCCGCCAAAGCTGCAGAGTGAATTTACCGGTGCTCCTGATACAAAACTTGCACATTTCGCTTCCCACCAAAAGAAAACCAAAACACTACAAAAATTAGGCGAAAAAATATATAACGCCCGTTTGGAGAGCCCCCAGGATATGGGAACCAGGCAGACTGAGGTTTTATTTTGTTTTGAACCTGAGTGTGTCTGCTATATTTTGACTTAAATGCCTAGTACACTAATATTAATAACTGACATTGCATCAGGCCTGGAGTATCGATATTATCGCCAAGCCAAGACAACTGTTCTGTTGTATTGGTGATAATGGTGTTATCTCTGACTATGAAAGTATTGACGGGTCCGGAGGACAGGGATGATTGATTGGTTGGCTAGGTCACTGCATGTTGCTTCTCGCTGACTAAGGAAGAAATCCCCATGAAGTGGAATACAAGCACCAGCAAGGGGGAATAAAAAGCATGCTTCTGTTCCATATTTCGACGAAACTTTAATATACTGAATGACCACATCACCTCTTGTCAAGATCCAGGATAGAATAATCTGACATGTCTACCATTCTTCCTCTTGCCCACGAATCCAACATATCCCAATCAACGCACTCATGATCCGAGTAAACAGTCGAGTATGGCTTTCCATCTGCCCAGCGAAAGGTCGCTAGAGATGTATCTCCTCTACACATTGCTGCTTCCCGCCAATACTCAAGACAGTGGTCTGACATTATTAGAAGTCTGGTATGACCTGGGGGGGAGCTCTTACCGATATGCGGTCCTTCTCTACGTTTCTCGTCCTCTGTCATGTGAGGGTAATAATGGTCCAGGTGCAAGTGCCGCCTAATGCGTTTCTTTTGCTTTGTCAGTCTTTTAGGTATGGTTCTAGGGAACAGGAGAGGACATACTACACAATGAAGTTCGTGATATACAGCTGTCTCTGCGACATAGCCACCGCTTTTCAAGGCGACTGAGGTTTCGTTCAGAATTTCGAGTTCTTGCTCGGAAATCTTTATTGTTATAGCTTTGCGCATACGTTAGTCTTTTTCCGAAATTTGATGAGAGGTTGACACACGCTCTATCAATTTTCTCCAAGCTTCATCGAACTCGGGGCGTGGATCACCGGTATATACATTGGAGGTGATATTTCGTGTTAGTCGACGCTTCTCATATCGAATTGAATCCTTAGCTGGAGCTTTATCTTTGGTTAGTTTGTGGCTATCAATCTGCTGTTTTAGGAGACGTACAATACGTTAGTTTTGGACGTACACATTTTTCAGATTGAGTTTCTCTCAGCCAGAGATTGGCGAAGCAGAGATTCGATAAGACAAGTATTGCAAACACCCAGGGCTGGTATGGGAATCTTCTTATTCCGGAAATATCCTGTCTAAGTGCCGACCTGAAAGAAGTATCTTCCTCATCACAGGAGAGACTGGTATACTTTGTCGATTCCATGAGTTCCATTTTTTGAATCCTAGGAATCCGACCTTTTTGAAGCCTCGATCCCTGTTATGCTGATAATACCAATCATTTCACCTGACTTTATTCCCAAACTTTGTACACATTGTCTCAAATTACGGCTGCATTAGCGGGTTGCAACTTCAGCGAAATGCAGTGATGACTGCTTACTGTACGAGCTGGGTTTATATGCAAGCCGAGAGCTGAGAAGATCAACCGGGTGATCATCCGTTCAAACTTGGGAACGGGAGCCCAACTCTCCAAATTGGTTGGTAAGTTACCAACCGGTGGAATGTTCCGTCACGCCACCACGGGGAAATGCGACCAACCATTTCGAATGCACTTTCCGACCAACTGAAGTATCGGGGAGTAATGCTAAAATCGCCGATTGTGTTGGTCTCTTTGTTTGCAATTTGATACAAACTGGTAGTTATTTTTCATTGCTGGAGGTCTTGTGTGGAGGTGAAAGTGGACCGTAGGTACAGTCAGTAGTGAATACTCGTACGTCACCTTATGAATCAGAAGAGGTGGGGGTAAAGAAGTAGTTACCCTTCATCAACCTACACTTCCCTAAGTACAACACTTGACCCTCACCAATTTCTTACGAGAGAACGTTCATTTTTTGTCATACGATTACCCTTGAATCTTTTATCGCCAAGCTTCTGATGTCAACAACCATGGCCTCACCTCAGCACTCTAACGGCACCAACGGCACTAATGGTACCAACGGCCATACTAAGAACGTCGTTGTTCCTCTATGGATCAATGGTAAAGAAGAGACGACATTCTCCTCTTTCGAGGTAACTAGTCCTAGCAATAACGAAGTCTGTTGGACAGCAACTTCAGCAAGCAAAGATGATGCTCTCCGCGCCGTTTCATCTGCTGAGGCCGCTTTCCCAAGCTGGTCTGAGACAAAGCCGGTACTCCGTCGCGATATACTACTGGAGACCGCAGCTTTACTTGAGGCTCGTACACAAGAATATGCTGGTTTCATGCAGACGGAGATGGGTGCCGACATGGGAGTTGCTGCTCATTTTGTTATGCCATTGGCTATTTCGCAACTAAAGGATATCGCTGGTCGAATCACGAGTATTTGTGGTAGCGTGCCTGTCTGCCAGGAAAAGGGAAGAAGTGCGATTGTTTATAAGGAGCCGTATGGAGTTACACTTGGTATCTGTCCTTGGTGTGTTTTGCTTCAGAGATGATGTTAATTATAAGAATTGACAAATCCTAGGAATGCTCCGTTTGTATTTGGTATTCGGTCAGCGGCCACAGCTATCGCGACAGGAAACACCACCATTCTCAAGGCTTCTGAGGTGACACCCAGAAGTTATGTAAGTCAAAGCTCGAGCATTGTCAATTATTTTTCATAGTTACCTCTACTGACCAGAAGTTCTACCCTTCAAGTGGGCAATCAGTAAAGCATTTCATGATGCTGGCTTACCGGCAGGAGTTCTCAATGTCATTCAATGCCGGCCAACAGATGCTGCTGAAGTCACAAACACACTCATTGAGCATACCGCCGTTAAGAAGATAGACTTCACAGGTAGTGCCAGCGTAGGACGAAAGATCGCTAAAGTCTGTGGACAAATGCTTAAACCATGCTTGATGGAGCTCGGCGGAAAAAACAGTACCATCGTTCTCCAAGATGCTGATATCGAAAAGGCAGTAGGCGTAACCATGGCTGGATCTTTCCTTAATGTAAGTTGTGGCTAATGCGAACCCTTTTACGACTGCAATAAATAAACATTGATCATTATGGTTATAGTCCGGCCAAATATGTATGGCAACAGACCGCATAATCCTCCACTCCCAAATCGCACCTCAATTCCTCGCCGCCTTCAAATCCGCACTCTCTTCAGCTCCCGATGGAAAACAACCTCCACTTCCAACTCTCGTCTCCTCGGCGTCCAAAAAGAGACTAGGAAGCATTGTCGACGAAGCTATCAATAGTGGAGCGAAATCTCTCATTGGTCGACCACCCAAAGGTCTCGACGGAGCATCATTCGCACCCGTTATCCTTGGCCACATCGCAGAAGATTCCCTCTTCTGGAGGGAGGAGAATTTCGGTCCTGCAGTTGGTTATTTGATCGTAGATAGTGAGGAGGAAGCTATTACTGCTGCGAACAAAACGGAGTACGGATTGAGTGCAAGTGTTTTTACAAAGGATTTAAGACGGGGTTTGGCTGTTGCCAAGAAAATTCAATCTGGGTAAGTTGATGCCATTTGCTAAACTATAATTTCGTATCTTCATTCTGAAACTCGGAGCAACGCGGAGCCTAAAGTTATAAAATAAAAGCTGGGGGTTGATGTTATTTGGAAGCTGACTTATAATATAGAGCTGTTCATATCAATAACATGACTATTCATGACGAGCCTACGCTACCCTTTGGAGGTGTCAAGAATAGCGGTTGGGGAAGATTCAATGCTCAGAGTGGAATGGAGGAGTTTTTGGTCACGAAGACCGTTACTTGGGATGATTGAGGTGATTAGAAGTGGTACGTTAACGATACAAATTTAATGATGTAGGTAGTCCAGATGACCAATCTCCTTTTGGTATTTCTCAGTAGCTAGTTGTTGACCAATAGCATATGCACCACCCCCTTCGTTGTCTATTCTATCCTGAGGCCTACTTTCCGTAACCTGAGCCAGGCGTCACCTTCGTTCCTGTTCGCTTATTTTAAGAGCCCCTATTTCCCCTCACATTTGTTAGGTAACCGAAACGTGTACTCAGCAAATGACCAGTCTCCAACACACACGTATCACAAAATAAACGGAGAAAAGTGACACGTTCTAGCGGTGAACTCGTTCAAAATATGAGTCACAGGATAAAACCATGCGCAAATGCACGTTGTAGGTAGGTAAGATTTGTCCTACCTAAGAACGATTTGAAAAGTGAAAACAAAAAGAGACCGGAACATCGCACCCTTCGGCGCTCGGCCCTAGCAACGCAAGTTCCGGCATAGCCATTCCTGTACTTCCCAACCCTGCAATCCGCCTGCAGAATAGGATAAGGAGATCATTTGAGAGAGAGCATGGGGATAGAAGTGCAGAATATCGGCACTGAGGAAATAACCGACGGAACAGCCTGGCGCACCATACCCAATGATTGACTTTTTCAATACTGCACTTTACTCGGTGTCTGGTAGTCATATAAGTGTTGTAAAACAGGTCACCGACAACAGCGATCGCACAATGCAATAAATACGACTGCAATCTCATTCAACATATCCACTTTCCAACACATGGAAACTCAGTTAATCGTAGGGAAGGCCATCAGCTACTCTTGACCGCAGAATTAGGACCGACAAAGGCTTGCATCCTTTCTTATTAACAAACAAGCCAACCTTCAAGAGGAAGCCAGACAAACAGCAAACAAGATGGCTTAAGCCCGACAGGAGCCCAAGCCCAAGAACTGGCTCGGCGGCGGAAAGAAAGGGGCTGGTGATGCGACATATGTACAGCAACCAGCTGATTCCAGCAAGATGCCGAAGAAGCGAATCGGTAGTCGAAATGAAGATTTTCGTACTCCCTTTTTACTCACCTCTTAAGAGTCAACGGGGACGGAGATCGTGTGATGGTTTCTTCATATTATCGGTCTGGGCTTCATTAATTTATATTGCTTCTGCATATGTATGTCTCTTCCCTTTCCTGCCACTATGCCGATGCCGATAGTTGCTGTATGGCGGTATCTTGAGACGATGCTCTCTCCTTTGGGATAGCTGTGGGAGGTAGGCAGGCGTTGTACCGTCTTCTTCCGTCGGTGAGGAGAATAAGGGATTATCTGAAGTGGTGGGATCAGAAACTTGGATGAATAAGTACCAGCGTTTCCAATTTTTATACTGTGTAAGATTACCTTGGTTGCTGCTTTCAGTTCAGCTGCATCACCAGCATTACCCTCGTTCTATAGTTGTATTGTTCAAACTCGAGAAGAGCGAAATCCAGAAGAAAGTCCCTCATCTACAAAGATGTATTTCGGCAAAGTCTTTGCGGCTCTTGCAGTCTTTACTACGGTTGGCTTAGGGTATCCCGTTGGTAAGCCATCATTAACAACTCCATATCACAAGGAGAAAGCAAAAGCTAATACATAGGCTCGTAGCATTAGAAGCAGACGATGCCATCGGAAACACCTGGTCAGAAAGCATCTCAAATCGTGAAGCAGATGAGAACATTGGGAACACTTGGTCAAACAGTGTATCCAATGCCGACGAAAGCTTTGGGGGCATCGTGACAGAGAGTATATCCTACGCCCAGCGCAGCGCCGAAGCAGATGAAAATATCGGGAACACATGGAGTAATAGTGTTTCAAATGCTGCGGATGAGAATATTGGGAATACTTGGTCAGAAAGTATCGCGAATAACTGAGTGGTGTTTGGGGGTTCGAAGCATTTCCCAAACTGCAGAATTTATCTTGAGGATGTAATTTTGGGGCTTGAAGGTATCGGGACAGAGATACTGGATGTTGGAGGATGGGAAGAATGTTAGATGCTTTGGGATTTCGTGCATGGAGCTAACAATTTCTTCCCCATTCCCTTTCTCTCGAATAGGGAGTTGTATACAGACTACAGTATGCGGCGATTGTGCTGATCCAACCTGTTCAAGAAACATACATGTATGGATGGTTTTTTTGGAAGCCAAAATAGAAGGTTGGTAGGTAGTTAGACTACTCGTACTTCAAAAAGGACTCGGTAGTTCAACCTCGAGTTTTACATTACCTTGTATTTGGAGAAACAACGGTATATCAATCGGTTTCTCTGTCTCTTACAATCTCAAGTTTCTTGTAATTTGTAGTTGTTCCAATTGTTTCTAATTACCAGAATAATTACCAGATAACCTTTAACTGCTTTCAGAATAAGCGAGCTTCGATAGGAGAGTTTCGGAGAATTAAAAAACAAGTAGAAGGCCTGGAAATGTATAAATTGCCAACCCGAGAGCTTAAAAACACAGGCAGATGGAAGGAGTGCTTAACATGCATGCCTTAGTAGCCTTATGGAAAGAAGTTAGAAGCGTAATTGTTTTACTAACAAGCTTCTTATCCTTGGAGATTGGAAGGCTCCGAAAACTTGAGCGAAATAATAATCTGCCCAACGCAAAAGTAATAAATGCTATGCGTGAGCTACATAAACAAGATCTTAGCACTGAAGCTCGAACAGAGAGAGTGAGTGAGCCTTTTATTTGGATATTACGTAAGATAGAAAGCCCCCACGTGGTTCGGCTTAACCTATGCTGATAAGAGCGCTTATCGCTACAGGCGGCGCTAACAAACCCACTTGTGCTCCACTTCTTCTCTGCACCTTGAGCTCCACTCCTTCATAGCTCAAGCTGTCACTCAAAACAGCTTCCTCCCAGCGCAGCATAAATACCACTTACTCTCTTACCTCTCAAGCTCTTTCAACATGGAGGCCCAAATGGATAATCTCACCATGCAAGACAAATTGGCCTCTTCGCCATCCGACGAGCCGCGTAAACAAAAGAAGAAGAAAGTGCTGTTGATGGGAAAGTCTGGGTCCGGAAAAAGCTCCATGAGAAGCATCATTTTCAGCAATTACATTGCAAAAGATACAAGGAGACTGGGTGCTACGATCGATGTCGATCTCAGCCATGTCAAGTTCCTGGGAAATTTGACGCTCAATCTTTGGGATTGCGGTGGGTCAGTATACCTCAAGCTAGCTGGCGAGGAAGAAATGCTAACATCCACGGATGCTAGACAGGATGCGTTTATGGAAAACTACCTCTCACAACAACGGCAACATGTCTTTTCGAACGTCGGTGTCCTTATTTACGTCTTCGATATCGAGTCCCGAGACTTTGATCGCGATCTCCTCACCTACCGTTCCATCGTCGCGGCACTCAGTCAATTCTCTCCAACCGCGAACGTCTACATCCTAATCCATAAAATGGATCTCGTCGTCCCCAATTTACGAGAAGACATTTACAATGACCGCGTCTCTCTCATTCGTTCCAAATCCGACGCCTTCGACCCTACACCCTTCGCGACTTCAATCTGGGATCAATCCCTCTACAAAGCCTGGGCCGAAATAATCCACGATCTCGTCCCGAACCTCGACCAAATCGAAAAGCATCTAGGCAGTCTCGGAAAGCTCATCATGGCAGAAGAAGTCCTGCTCTTCGAACGCACATCTTTCCTCGTGGTCTCCAGCTGGACCTCCAATGCAATAATCACGAGTGACAAAGATCACCCCGCCCAGAACCCCACCTACGATCGCAACGAGCGGCTGTCCAACATAATAAAGAACTTCAAGCAGAGCACGAGTCGGTACACAGGTACTCCCAAGAGCGCGGAACAATTGAGTATTTTTGATCTCAAGATGCCCAGTTTCTCCATGTTCCTCATCAAGTTTACCACCAATACATATCTTGGGGTTGTACTACCTCCCGGCGAGGAACGGTATAACGCGGCGAAGTTGAATTGTTACATTGCACGCACGCAATTCGAGGATTTAGATTCTCCAGCGAGAAAAAGCGCAGATAGGGCTGCTTCTTCAACGGAGATTGTCGCCGAATCATAGGCTACTCATTCCTTTGTTCGAGAGACTGGAAAATGCATGGTTTGCAAGGGACTGAACAGGGCGCAGGAAAAAGTTGTATGGTCAGGTTTTTTGGTTTTGCATGGTTAGGAGTGATAGGATATACCCAAAGGCATTCGTTGAGAGAGCATGAGAGAAAGAAGGAATCATCACGGAGCAGGCATGTAGAGGTTCTAAGCTGGGGGGTATGATGTACAGAAACAGAGTAATTTGGGACAATGACATTGCATTTGAGCGATGAGGAATTCAAATTTTTGCAATTACTAAACCGACCTTTCTCTCCAGGCAGCTCTTGGAATTGGTCGTTCGCATGATTCTATGGTATAGCGACCATCGAGACGTAAAGATCTTTTCTTGAAGTTCTTCCACGTCCATATTTGTTTTATGAGAGATTCCTGTTGTACAGTAATCTTGGATGAAAAAAGAAAATCGGTATGGCAGTAAATTTCATACCTCGCTTCGAACAACATTACTATATATCAAGATTCAACAATACCCAAAGCCAAAACCTAGCTCTTACTAGCTGATGCTAGCTAGATTTGATTATCCCTCCCTACTCTCCTCGTACATCACAGTAAGAATACCTAGAACAATCATCCATACCTACCTAAAGGATCTAGACCGCTCGCATCTCCCCCTCCCATATATACGACTTGTTATAGGCAAGGTAGAACCCTACAGTATAATTCTCTAGGCCAATTGGATTATCCGATTCATGTAGAGGTATATCAGAAAGTGACAAGGGGGGGGAGCCCCGAGCTGGCCAGACCCTTTACCTAGCATACTCGAGTACAGGAAATAAACACCTCCCATATTTGTGTAGAGTACAGTACAAGTATAGATATACTTGCTCTATTACAATGTGCCCGCCTGATCTCCATCTCCATCCTGTTCTATGGTTTAAAGCCCTTATGCAAGTAGTGATCCCTATACAGATACACATATAGATAGCATAATCCCCAGAACTCACTCACCTACTCACACACTGCCTTCTCTCCTGAATTGAATCACTTCTCGTATAGAGTAGCACGGTACTCGTTGTGAAGCCTTCAATAGTAGGAAGGGACATTGGGACGGAGGTTGATAAATGATAGGGATATACATCCAAAATTTCAAAGGTTACATTCCAGCTAAGCAAAAGGGAATGAAGGAACCTCTATTAATTCACACTTCTCTGCGTTGGTTAGGTAATGTTCGTTTGCTACCACCATTGCTGATTGAATCGTCCTTATCCCAAATGCTAGCTAGCTACGAGAACAACTGGATTATACAATAGAGGGAAAGAAGAGTGGGAGCGGAATCAAAAAGAAAAGAGAGATTTTTCTCAATCTGGTTTTTGTTGTTTGTCTTTGAATGTCCTTCTTCCATTACCACCACACCATCCACAACTCTCCAATTCACACCGTTCATTTCATCGCCTAAGTCCACCCACTCCACCCACCCATGCTGCTAAAAGAAATGGGAATCAAGATGAAAAAAAGAGTGAAAAAGGAAAAACGCCAATGTACACACCACCTCGAATGCTAGCTCCACTCAAAGTCAACAGAAAAATTGATCATTCAATGAGCAGCCCCATTCATATCACTATCCCCATCATCATCCAAAGCATCCAACTCCTCGGGATGACCCAAAAGATTGGCCACGTTCTTCATCTCATAGTGCTTCTTCCTCATCTCCTCAAACTTACGATGCTTCTCGAGTTCCTCCGCACTGAGACCAGTGTGTTCCTGAGCCGCAACATGAACCGCCTTCTCCTTTCTTCGGCGTCTCTCCTCGGGGTCTTCTGTGTCTTCCGGAACCGCTTCTTCAGGTTCTCCTAGACTAAGACCGGGGATCTCTTCCTCGCGGGAGCGCGAGCTCTTCGGACTGCGTCGTTGATCCAGTTCATCGACCAGGATCTCCTGCGCGTCGAGCGTGCGGATTTCCTCCTCGTCCTCGGCCGGGTCGTAGTGTTTTGCATATGGCGTCTTGGGCTCGTCGATTTTCATGGTTGCGCTCTTTTCTTGCTCGGTCAGGTAGAGGTTTGCTTCGTCCCATTTTAGACGCATGTTGGTGTCGTCGCCGTTTTGGCTGGTGGACGAGTGCCTTGATTGTCTACGAGACCCGACGGGGCGGATTGAGGAGGACGAGGAGCGACGATGGCCTGCATTTTGGAGCGTGTTCTGGAGGGTGATGTCCTTGTCTGCGTCGGCGGGGAGGGAGTGGGTTACGACGGCTGATGGGGAAACTGGGGGAGGGGATGTGATGATGGGGGATTGACGGGTTGGAGAGCGGTGGTAGGAGTTCTTGAGGATTCCTGGGGTTGGAGTTAGCACGAGGTCTGGACGAGCGGATAGATCTGTATATAGAGAAAGGACTTCTTTACCTTTTGGTCTCTTGGCCGAAGGGCTTGGTGGGGAGTGAACCCGGGTTGGAACTTCTGCCTCCATCTGTATTATTGTATTACTTGTACTGTGCAGAATCTGTGTTGTTGGGAAAGTTGGCAGGACCAGGACCAGGACTTTTTGAGGTGGTGGGGTGAAATGTTTTGATGTCTGACAAGGTGTTTAGCGGGGTCGTTTGCGCTACTTAAGGGACAGAGGGAGTACTGGATGGCAAGAAAAGGCGCGCGGATGCGACTGTGACGAGCGATAAATATTATGCGGTCTCTGAGTGTTGTTGGTGGTCAGATGGGATTTTTGGCGGATCTGGCGTTACAGTAGCTGAATCTTGCTTGCGATCCGACGGGAATCTCTGGAGAGGATGCAGTTGAGTGGATGTGAATGGCTGACTTTGTGGCAGGTGAGCTTTCTTTAGTGAATCACTACTGCCTCAGCCACTGATGCCCACCCCACCCAACAGCATGTGAGAGAGAACGGAAGGAATATGCGCGGTGACGGCCTCAGGCGGCAAGACCACCACGAAGTCGGTGCAAGTGTAACGTCATAATAGGCTAACCGAGGGTTTTCCTTCGCGGCCCGCATTAACCTTGAACTTCCGATACGCAGGCCGAGTACGGCTCCTGCCTCCCGCCCGAGCCGAGATATTTGATTGGATGTACGAGTAAGGAAATTGATGAAGTAGAGGGACCTGTCGTTTAGAGGAATCTCAAAATTAATTTATGAATTTGTTGGTGGAAAAGCCCTTTTTGAGGAAAGCCCTTGGGGACGATACCTAATGACATGCCAGACTGATTGAGGTAAAGTACAGGTACTTTCTTCAAATGCATTCGCTAAATTCTTAGCGAATATTTAAGTCAATGTAATCGAGTAATGTTTTGTAAAACTCCTCGAGAAAACAAAATGATTCGTGGATCATTCTCTATTCAGAACAATCTTTCGTCAGAATGATTCAGCCGAAAACTTTTTGTTTGAAAAGAATCCTGAACGATTTTGAAATAAACTCCATTCACCAATCTGGTCACGAGACGATTTTTTTAGCTCGTAGTTCGTAAATCGTTAGAGAGACTTTCTTAGATTGAGATTGCCCATTCACGGATAATATTTACATGAAGGGGATATTTTTCATCATTATTGCCAATGGGTCTTCATTAAATTCCATCAGAGTCGACCGTACCTATAGGACTTACTATTACTCTGTAGTTGTAACACGAGCCCAAAGAGTCAACATCCTACCCATAGTCCACCTTGGGCATCTCAAGCGCCAAAAGTTCCAAGTAAGCTTCCCTCTCATCTATCTCCATCTTTCCATCAATCCCATCCTTTAAACCCCCCAAACCCCACCAGATTCACCAAACCTCCCCATACCCTTGAAGACTATATCCCATAATCTCCGACTACCTCACTCATACCCTTCTTCACATAGACCTGACCCACCACATCTCCAAAAGCCTTCAAAACATGCGTCCCACAATCCACAAACCCAAGCTTCACAAACACACCTCTACTCGCCTCATTCTTTTGGTCCGTCATCCCCAGTACATCTTTCACACCCTTCTCCCTCTTCGCATACTCTAGTAACATCCGTGCTGCTTCTGTAGCGATGCCTTGTCGCATGTACGCTGATAGCATTGCGAATCCTAGGTCGGGCGCTGTGTAGCCTTGCGGTGGGGGCATCGATACTGTTCTCGCTATCAGTCCATGAAATTCAAGTTGTCACTATATGAAGCGAGGAAGAACTGTACGTAAGGTAATATTTCCAACTGGTATGCACTCTTCAAGTGAAACGTCTAGTTTTCCAGGAGGTTTCAACCTAATAAGATAGTATCCATAACCATGGGGATTATTACTCGGCAACCGTTTCTTCAGTAATTCCCGTCCGGATTCGAGATCTTGTGCTGAGGTAGGGCCGTTAGACGCGAGGAATTCGGGGTGTTGTGGAGAGCTACTATGAAGTTGCAGTGAGTGTCGTTTGCTGGGTTAAAGTATGAGAGGTAGAGACGCTGCGACTCGAGGGAGAAGGGTGGATCTACCATGATTTTGATGTAAGTGAACTGGATTTTGAGGATGCAAGGCCGACGAGGGATGTTAGGTATGATGATTATTGCAGAACGGTTGTATTTATATCAGGTTGCCGGATGTGAGTCATTAGGAATTCAGTATTCAACAGGTGAGATCTTACCACCCTACGAATTGAAATACCAATACTGGACCAGAAGTATTCTTTCGTGCGTAACACTGTACCAACGCTACCAGAAAACACATAATCTCCTCGGAAGACGCACAATTCTTCACCAACTCGCTCAGTCAAAACAAACCCCCATAATCCAAAACTCCATATTCACGCACTCTGATTGGGTCCCCTTTATGCTCCCATCGTAGCCGAGTTCTCATTCGCCAGAACCATACGATAAAAAGCCGAGTAAAGCCGAGCCCATCTTTTGGAATCCAACCCACAGCCGTTTTAAGAGTTAAAGCTAATAGAGAGGTTTTACCGCCGAAAAATAACAATAGTAATAAAGTTTGTTAGTATATAGATAATAAGGTTTACTATTTTCGATAAGGTTTTACTACCTAAAAATAGTAAAGAAATAATAGCGAATAAAGTATAAGGTTTATATTATATTATTAGTTTTATTTAAGTAAAAACTATAAATTAACGTAATTAAGAGAGACGAGTAATTAGATATTTAGGTACTTTATTATCCTTTTATTAGTAATTTCTAGAATTTATAATTCTATAACTATTCTTACTTTTATAACGTAGTCCACAAGCGAGTTGGATTCCCAAGCGAAATGGATTTTTTTTCTTGGCACTCCACAAACTTATTCAGAGCGCGTTTTTTCTTAACAAACAAAATGGTTAAGCATTGGACAGAGTCTGATATGATTCTTGCGTTAAATACGCTTCGTACGAACCCACATTTAAAAGTTAAGAAGGTTGCGCGGATCTATAAAGTACCTTATACGACATTGCTTAATCGAACTCATGGAATACTATCACGACAAGATTCTATCGCTGAATCTCGAAAACTTACAGAGATTGAAGAAATAGTTATCGTACGACATATTCTCGACCTAGATTCTCGATCATTTCCCCCACGAGTACGTTGTGTTGAAGATATGGCGAATCGTATCCTCTCGGAGCGGGGTGCAGGACGCGTTGGCAAGAACTGGACTTCGAACTTCGTACGACGACAACCTGAACTTAAGACGCGTTTTAATCGAAGGATTGATTATCAAAGAGTCCAATGCGAAAATCCAGACGCGTATAACGCGTGGTTTCGCCTCGTACGAAATATAATTGACAAATATGGGATTCAGGAGGAGGATATTTATAACTTTGACGAGACTGGGTTTTGTATGGGCCAAATTACATCAGAAATGGTTGTTACAAGTACCGAAAGGCTTTCTCGGCCTCGTACAGTACAGCAAGGAAACCGGGAATGGGCAACAGTAATTCAAGGTGTTGGGTCGTACGGCTTTGTAGTGCCTCCATATATCATTTTGGCGGGGAAGAACCACCTCTCCTCCTGGTACGAAAACAGCCAATTACCACGCGACTGGGTAATTGCTGTAACTACAAATGGCTGGACAACAAATGAGCGAGCCCTAGATTGGATTTTTCATTTCGATCGGCATACAAAGCTTCGTACGAAGGGCATTCACCGGCTGCTTGTGCTTGATGGCCATGAAAGCCACCACTCAGTCGATTTTGAGCTTTTTTGTAAGAGTAATAACATTATTACTCTTTGCATGCCAGCTCATTCCTCTCATAGACTCCAGCCACTCGATGTAGGATGTTTTCGAGCGTTAAAAAGGTCGTACGGTGCTGAACTTGAGAAATTAATGCGACTCCACATTACATATGTTTCTAAGGAGGATTTCTTATCAACATTCTATACTGCCTTTCGTACGACAATGACTGAATCAAACATTCGAGGAGGATTTCGAGGATCTGGCTTAGTGCCGTACGACCCAGATTCTGTGATTTCACAGCTTGATATACGTCCAAGGACTCCGTCACGTCCATCTACCTCAACAAGCCTCCTAGCTATTTGGGAACCAAAGACCCCAAATAACATAACAGAGGCATATTCCCAGACGTCATATATACAAAACAAGGTCGTACGACACCAAGATAGTTCTCCGACCCAGATTCTATATGGCCTAGACCAGCTTGCAAAGGGTGCACAGCGTGCAATCACTGAGGTAGCTTTATTACGAGCTGAGAATGCTACACTTCGTACAGCAAATGATCAACTTAGTCGGCGTCGTCGTACGAAAAAGCGCCGATTACAGGAAGGAGGATCACTTACTCTCCAAGATGCGCAAGATTTAGGGGTCCTTAGTAATGTTGATTCGCAAGAACAAGTGGTTTTAGTAGAAAATAGTAATTGTACGAGCCCGAGTCTGGTACCTCGCCGGCGCTGTGGACTATGTGGGAAACATGGCCATAACATACAAACCTGTCAAAAAGGAGAAGAAATATGTGAGGATTCCGATTCTGAATACTGTAATTAATTTAATTAATTGTGTCGTGAGATATTTAAGAATTTATAAAATGCCAAGAAAAGAATCCATTTCGCTTGGGAATCCAACTCGCTTGTGGACTACGTTATACTTTAATAAAATTATTTCTTAATTAAGTAATAGTAAAATGCTCTAAGTTATATAGTAAAGATCTACTAGACCTTAACGCTTTAATAAAAGATATTATAGATAAGGCTTATTTAAAAGACTTTTTTACTAGTTAGGTATTATTTAGTTATAAGAATTAATAACTAAATAGTAATAAATTAGGTAGTTTAAATTAATTAAATAGTTTAAATAAACAAGGTAATAAAAGATTTAAAAAGTATAAATACTATAATAAGATAATATTATATAAGGAAAACGATTATTTTACTTTCAATAAAAATAAGATAAAGAAAGAAGCCTAAGAAAAGGAAAGGAATATTAAATAAAAGAAGGCTAAAAATAATAATAATGTAAATATAACTACTAAACCTACTAAATCTAGTAGAGTAGATTCTAAAGATTCTATCTTAGATATAGAGAACTAGTTTAGTTACGCTATTATAAACATAACCTTATTAGACTATAATGTAATAGCTTCTTTAATTTAATAATCTAAACCCTAGGGTAAGAGATTTAGAAATAATATAAGAGCTAATTACTATATATCTTATAATAGATATTATTACTAAAGTAATTTCTATAAAGCTAATCTTAGAGTTATTAAAACTATTACTAGTATAGCTTAAATTAAAAGAGTTAGAACCGTAGAATTATAAGTTTATAGAGAGCCTAGTAAAGATTAATACTATAAGGTTTTATTAAAGAATTATTTTTATATTCTAGATAAGAAAGTAAATTTCTTTAGTAGAAAGCTCTTTATAAATTATAAAGGAGTAATAGATAAAATAAAGCTTTAGTATAGTAAAATAGGTAAAATATTCTCTTTATTAGAAAGAATTTTTATTTACTTAAGCTTTTAAATAGCTACTTATCTTATTCTAAGCTAAAGTTATATTTAAGTAAGAAGTTAAGTTAAAAATTAATTAATTTAAGTAACTCTATAGACTAGACTATTAGTTCTATATATATAACTAATAAGTTAGCTAATTAGGATTTAGGAATCTAAATATAACTAATTAGAGTATGAGTATTAATAATAAAGACTTTTATAATAAAGTATTCTTTATAAGTCTTTAAAAGTTAAAGGTTCCGTTACTTATAGACTAGTATAAGAGATTTAGCTACCTTAGACTTCATAATTACTATAAAACTAATAAGCTAGTAAAAAATATAGATTTTATTAAATTATTACCTTTTAAAGAAGGTAAAATTATCTATCTTCTATATAAATTAGGTAAACTAATAGGATATAGACTAAAATATAAATACTACTAAGTCTCTAATATTTTTGGGGCTATTTATAGTAATATTGTATTAATAAAACTACCCTTGTTTAAAAAGTATCTTTACGTAATAATACTTATAAATAAAGCCTTAAGAAAGCGCTAAGTATTCTTTTTAAAGCGTAAAAAGCAAGCCTAGAGCTACTTAAAATACTTTTAAAAGTACGTACTTACTTAGTATAATTATACTATTAAGTATTAGTAATTAGACGGCGGTAAAGAATTCTCTATTAATCGAATTCGCTATTATATAAGGAAGCTTAGAACTTAATTAGAGATAATAATACCTTGTTCGCCTAAGTAAGATAGCTTCTTAGAACGTATAATTCGTACCCTAGTTAAAAGAATAAGAACTACTTATATTAATTAATAAATACTAAAGTTCTTATAAGCTAAAATACTCTAAGTACTTATATTTACTTATAATAAAATAGTAATAAGCGTTTATAATAAAACACCTAATAAGATATTCTTTAATAAGATTAAACCTCGCTAAGATAATAAGCTAGATATCTCCAATCTTAGAGTTCTTAGTTTAAAAGCGTTTTTTAATATTCTAAAGGAAGATTAAGTTATAAGTAAAAAGTTAGAGCCGAGAGCTTATAAGGGTATATTAGTTAGATATAAGTGTAACGAATACTCAAACTGGCTAACTAAACTTGGCTGGGTGTTCGCTGGTTGGTATGCTATGATAAGAAGAAGACTATCGGGTTGTTCACTTGGAAGTGAACTCGTTACTTGTATCAAAGATGTCAAACAAATATGANTGTCAAACTAATATGATAAGATTGATAACTAAGTTGAGCACGAAGCTCCTATCTAAATGGCAGACGTGCCAGTCTTATATAGAACCTTCGTTCTCTGTCTAATCGCTTTAGTCGCTCGCCTCAGTCGCTTCAGTCGACAGGCGACTCAGGCGACTGAAGCGATCATGGTCACGTGGTACTTTAATCCGACGAAATCCATGGATCGCTTAGCTAGCCTAAGGATCCCCTTCTGCTATAAGAGTTATGATAATGCTCGACCTGTCAGGGCGCCGCCTGGTCTTCACTATCTCCCGTGGTAACACGTGATTCGTGACATAGACTAACTAAAATACTTAAAAACAATAAGTATAAAGCTTTTATAAAGCTATTAAAATTAAGCTAATTAGCGTGAAGGGGAGTAGCTAATAAAGACTGAAAAGGAGTTTTTATTAAGGCTATTAAACGTAGAATAGGGGGTATATTAAGTGTATTCTAGTATTTACTCCTATGTAAAATTAGGTAGCGTACTATGTTATATTATAGACCTATACTATAGATAGCTTCTTTTCTCCTTAGTAGTCTATAATATAATAATAAGCTATATCCGAGTTTTCCTAACGCGTGTAACATTAACCTAGTAATATAAACCCTTTCGAGTATAAATAAACCTTAGACTTAATATTTTATGTAATCTTACTTTTTATATAGTAATCAACTAGAATACCATAATCTAGTTTCTTAGAGTGGTCGAGACGATGTTTTGCTCGTACCTCGTATTTCGATGAGGTAACTAACCACTTTTATAGTTATTAGATTAAACACATTATACTCGTACTAACCCAGGTTCGCTAGTCTAAAATTCTTGTTCTATCAAGCCTCCGAGCTCGATGTTTCGATTAAAAAAGCAAATTCCATCCTTTCTTATAATAGTACTAGGTCTACTCACTTGTAATGGCTCAGCAGAACCAGCCGAAAGCTAAGAGAAAGTATAAACAGAAGATATGGTATTCCAATCCGTTATTTTTAAACTCTGAAAATTTGCGAAGAGAGACCAGCTGTTTTCTGGGTTTTGTCCGCGAAAAGACTACATAGATGTCAGACAGACATTAATACTATAGACTAGCAGAAGGCAAGACGATGTGGCTACACTGAGAAGCCGTTGATTCTATTCTCGAATGCATGGCCGTTCGCTGTATAGGATATATCTCTAGCCCCTGAGAGCTGAGAAAACCTACGAACGTTGTAATGAACATTCTGCGAAAAGGAAACCTGGTATATTAGCGAAGGGTAATAGGATGGGTTTAAAAAATTAAGAGAAAAGCCTTCAGAAGTTAGTTGAAGTATTTTAGTTGAGATTTCATGTGTATATATACACCCAAGCCCCAGATTTTCTTCTTCTATCATGGGCATCATCTGAAAAGCAGACCAATCTACCTTCCCTCTCCTAAACTCCAACGCAAGAATCGTAAATGCGCATGCCCCAAATATACAACTAGTATACAATCCATCCCTAAATTATATTCCCACATAACCATCAGTCCCATTTTGGTATCATTTCCTCTCCCTTTTTGGCTCCCATCTAATCTCCATCATTAGGCTGCCTCATATAAGAATCAATCGCCGCACTAAAAGCCGCAAATCCCAAGCATCCCACAGCAGCAGCCTGCGGTCCCGCAGGCGCAGCAAGTACACCACCTGTGATACAACCAGCCATAACACCATTCGCCAGATCATTCTTCGCTCGGTAGCCTTCGATACAACATTCTGTGCCGGAGAAAATGGCGCCTACTTTTCCGAAGTTTTTCGCAGAGGAGAAGGAGCGGGAGCCCATGTCTTTGAAGCCTTGTTTGAGCTGTTGACGGAGAGGGAGGGAGGTTATGGCTGCTGAGGCGCCGGTGCCGTGGAGAGGGGTGTCGTAGGACATCTGGGGTAGTTAGTGGGATGGATTTGAGGAAGGAGGGTTGGGGACTTACGGATGCCATGAAGAGACCGAATGCTCCGCCGAGGGCGAACCCCATCACGCCTGACATTACTGTTTTCTGCGAGAGATCTTGTCAGTATTCTCTTCGTTCCCAAAACATATCCGCCCCTCAATATCCTGTCAACTCTATCGAAATAGAATTCTGGTTGAAATTCCTTCCCAAGTATCCATAAATCCACAGCGGGGGCAATCGCAAGTACATACACCAGGACAACTCTCCATAACAGTCTGCATCTACAATCGCAAAGTAACCATTAGCACACACATCCCAAAATCCATAACTTCATCGCAACGAGAAAAGACTTACAGCTTTGACAGCAGCCATGGTCTGCGCATCCATGGTCTGCGCATCCATCTCATTCTGCTGGCGATCCCCCAGCCTCGACATTGGTCCGTTCATCGTGTCCGTCTGCGATTCTGTCGCTTCCTTTCTCTGCGGCGGCGGTGGAAAACGAGGGTCGTTGGATTTCTGAGCGGGATGTATCCCGGCGAGTGTAAATAAAAAAGGGTTCCCGATTGTCATTTTGCCGATTTCTCGCCGTGACGTCCTGCAAGGCTGATAACAAGGCTTGGCGAATTTCAATTGGCCCAAATTTACTTTCTTCGTTTCTTTTTTCTTGATGAATTGGAAGATTTCGAAATAATAGGAGCTTTTGCAATTAAATCACTGAATTTTTTAAACCACTATCCGTCTTTACACTACTTCTTTAGAACGGAAGCTATAAATATCACGTGGATTCGTTCACTGTTAGTGGACGCTCGGCGAAGTTCAACGGTCTTCCAGGTCCCGTTTCTCAACGGCTTCATCCATCCGTCAAGGTCTCCGCCCAAACACTGATATTCCAATTAACGTTCAAATCACGTTTGAGGATATCGTGCTGTGCAGCTATGCAGGAATATTATAAAGACGCCACAGAACGGGTAATCTTCAGCCGTTGTTCAAGGAAGCCATTTGTGAAAAGCCGGAGAAGTTTCTCCATACGTCACCGAAGTCGCCGTTCTCGAGAGAGAGAAAATATGTGAAATGAAGTATTGAAGTGCTTCATTCACTTTTCTGTTACATCTCCGTTGTCGGTGTTTTTGGTTTGTTCTTGTTTATCCTTGTATTTTATCTTTCGAGGTTACATATACTTTATACATACCTTCCTAATAAAATTACCATCCAGTAAGGAAAGGATTCGACATTGATATATTTTTCACTTCCTCAAATCTTGGTAACACCGTGAGCTTGGAGGCAATTAGTACCTTCATAAGCCTTTCTTCTCCAATTCCTGTCCTCAGAAAAATGGTATCAACCAAAACCTCACCCGCCCCGTCGGCCCCATCCTCGCCCTCCATTACCCCAAACAACACCTCCACCACTGCTCACGACCTCGAAAAACAGATAACAGAAAAAGAAGCCACTCAAAGACCAACACCAGGAACACGGACCACTTCCTCCGTAAGAGTCACAAGAACTCAATCGCTTACAAATCGAGGCTCTTATCGAAATCAGTTCACACATCCGTTATCTCGTGTTAAAACAACAGAAGCAGAAATAGTAGATTTCGATGGGGAAGATGATCCATATCGACCAATCAATTGGCCTTTCAGGAAGAAAGTTGTCACGACTTTGTTGTATGGATTGACGACTATGGGTTCTACATGGGCTAGTTCTGTGTATGCTCCTGGGGTTACGCAGATTAGCAATGAGTATGGGGTTAGCCAGGAGGTTGGATTGTTAGGGATTTCGTTTTTATTACTTGGGTTTGGTTTTGGACCGTTACTTTGGGCTCCATAAAGTGAGGTGTGAGTTAGTTCTAGCATGAGTTTAAACTTTTTCTCGGTCCAAAAACTGATTTTAATCTAGCTATGGGAGAAAACCAGCGGTTCTTGCCCCTTATTTTATTGCTGCCTGTTTTTCATTTGCGACAGCTACAGGCAAAGATATTCAGACTATTCTCATCACGAGATTTTTCACGGGCTTATTCGGTTCGGCACCTGTTACAAATACAGGTGGTGTTTTGGGTGATACTTGGTCGCCTGAGCAGAGGGGGATGGCTATTGTGGGTTATGCTTTTGCGGTTGTTGGTGGTCCTACTTGGGGGTAAGAATAAATCGTTGAATCTATCGAAATTTGACTAATACAAATAAGTCCTATCGCAGGCGGTGCAATCGTATCAAGCTATTTGAGATGGAGATGGACCAAATACGTAAGTGAAGGACTACCATCCTCTCTTTCCAGTCAAAATAGGATATTCCAGCTTAGCGAGCACCTCCATCCCTCAACCTCCTTACCTTATATCCTAACTCCATATAAACAGATCGCTGGAATAATGATGCTCTTCTTCCTCTTCCTCGACCTCCTCATCCTCGATGAATCCTACCCACCCATGCTCCTCGTTTTCAAGGCCCGCCGTCTGCGTCACGAAACAGGAAACTGGGCACTACACGCCAAACACGAGGAATGGGATGTCAGTCTGAAAGAGTTATGCAATAAGTTTTTGCTTACGCCCTTTCGGTTACTTGCTACCCCTATTTGTTTTTGTGTGGCGCTTTACGCTAGGTTTGTTTATGGCATTTTGTATTTGTAAGTTTTCAAGCACATATATATTTTTCTCTTATATGCAGATACACATAAACATGTGTATGAGAGTGGCGGATAGCTGCTAATGAAGAAAGATGTCTAGCAGCGATTCCGATCCAGTTTGCTGATGGAAGGGGGTGGGGTCCTGTTACGAGTGAATTACCGTTTCTTGCGCTGCTTGGGGGCGTTGTTTTGGGAGGAGGTGCGAATATTTAGTAAGCTGAATCAAGATTACTTCAAACCCTTCAAACCATGGTCTCTCTCTGAGGTCAGGTACGTTATCATAACCAGTCGCTAACATTCTCCAGCAACAACAAATTCTACATGCAAAAGTTCCACGCCAACAACGATACCCCCCTCCCCGAAGCTCGTCTTCCTCCTATGATGGCCGGCTCCCTCTCTTTCTCCGCGGGACTCTTTATCTTCGGTTTCACCTCTTCACACAATATTACGCCCGTCGCCCCTTTAATCGGATTACTACTAATGGGATTCGGTATGTCTGTCCATCTCCATCTCCATCTCCCCCTCCCCACTTCCCAGAAAAAGAAAAACTAACACACCCACCAAGGCTTCTTCACCATCTTCCAAGCCGCACTAAACTACCTCATCGACACCTTCACACGCTACTCCGCCTCGGCAATCGCCGCCAACACCTTCCTGCGCTCCATCTTCGCCGCCTCCTTCCCCTTATTTGTCAAATCCATGTTTGGAGGCCTGGGCTTTGGGGGTGCGTGTGCGGTATTGGGAGGTGTGAGTTGTGTGCTGATTCCGGTGCCGTGGGTGTTTTATGTGTATGGAAGGGGAATTAGGGGGTTGGGAAGGTGGACTAGGGAGGTTATGTAGGTTGGATGGGGGATGGGGGGTTGGTGGGTATTTAGTTAATTTGGGGATTGTGTGTAGGATTGAGAAAGGGCGTTGGGATGAAATCGAATTCGAGATATCTATCTCACGCTTTCTTGGCTATAAAACAAGATCGTAAACGTGTTGTGTTTTTATGCTTCTCCCGTTGTTGGACTCTGGGGCTTCCATTGGAAATCTAAGCATACTAAACGACTAGTCCTTATCATCAAAGCGCGCCTTTTCGTCGAAGTCGATATTATTGCTATCTACAATCTATAATTTTACTCCGCCTGTCATCGCATGTCAGGGATTTTACTACACTTCGAGGTGTCGAAGAAGTAGAAAGAGTTAGTAAGCGAGGACGTCAAAAAGTCATCTATCTCAGCTAGGTTTCATCGAATGATCTTATACGATAAAAGAGGTTACACTCTACAATCATTTATGTCCATCACGAGTCAAAAACATTTCACAGTAAAACGGGGGGGTTCAGTTTTGGTAGTTCAGTGTAATCCATTGATCATAAGCTAGGATATGTACTTGTTGTTATCCTCTTAGCTATTCCAGTGGCCCATAATCTGAGAGAATTCCGGACTACCTATGTTTTCAGGGTATCCTCCATGTCATCCTAATTGCCTCTGATTGGAAATCATCTGAAGTACTCTTCTGCACACTCTGTCCTCCAAGTCTTCTGCCTATCCACCTGTCTTGCCCTCCGAGCTGTAGACTGTAGTTGCTGAAATCGTGATTTCCCAAGGCGTCCTCCAAGCCCTCCAGATTACGACAGTGCTCGTTTCGATTGTCATTACGGTGTGTGCGCTGATCGTTGATGTTGCCTTTCATTCTGCACTCGTCTGTATTGCTCGTCATGGACGTATCAACCAGGTCTTGAAGACGATTTCTGGTCTGGCGCCAGCGATGAGATGTAGTCGGGAATGGAGCCGTTGGTGAGACCTGTTTCCGAGGACTTTGTTCTTCGTCACCTGCACGCCAATTAGTTCACCATGTTTCGGACGTAAGGAGTCAACTGACCTTGATGGGTCTCGTAGGCTTTTGCTGGTCACTTTTCCGGGAGAATGCCGTGAATATAGAAGCGATTCGCGAGAACCTGGCGAATTGTCGTGCCGTAGGGAACCGTAGGAGCGTGAGCTGTTCTCGAACTCGTCGGAAAGATTTTTCACAGAATCGTGAGAGGTGTTTTGGCGGATAGTTGAGAGCTGAGAAGACTTGAAGTTTGGAGTTTGGCAGTCTGGCAGTTGTATGTTGGAAGTGATGGAGGTCTGGTCCCTTCGCTCAGTATGTCATGTAAAGTCGTTTTCGATTGGAAACGAGAAAGATCGCGCGAACACTGCTCACACGGTGTGAGACTGGTCCCTTCGCCCATTATGTCATGGAAAGTCGTGTTTGATTGGATGTGATGGAGGACTGGTCCCTTTGCCCAGTATGTCATGAAAAGTCGTTTTTGGTTGGATGTGATGGAGGACTGGTCCCTTCGCCCAGTATGTCATGTCATGTAAAGTATTGATATGGTGGAATTGAGAAGAACGGAACGAACACTGTTCGCTACGTGTGAACTGATCCCTTCGTCCAGCATGTCTTTCGTCTGTTTTCCGATTTGAAATCAATTGCGTCCCTCTCGGCACCAGTGAATGTCAACGTTCAAGCCGCCTGCCTCCAGGATGGTTTCAGACGACAAACTTGAAGATATCGTAGTCGCGGAAGTTGACTCGATCCAAGGCGCGATCCAAGGCGGTTGATCGAAGGAAAAACGTCGAACAGACTCCAAATCCGCCTGATGACTGCCAGGAAGCCTCAAAACCGACTCCCCACCAGCTTCAATTTCGTCATCCTCAGCTTCAAAGTCGACCAACTGGACCACCGCAGCGCGCTCCATATTCACCGATCTCGATCAGAAACCAATCCAATCCATCAGAAAACGCGACAAGATGCTGCCGCCAACAGAGACAGCATTGTTGCTACAGGCAATCAAGCGGTAACAACAAAAAGTAGGGGTAATTGCCCAGCGCGAAGCCAGACCCGTAGCACAGAAGTCTACGATACGAACTGTTGTTAAGGACAAACAGTCAAACCTGAGAGACAAGAGTGGAGATTGGGTGAAAGATGCGCCCTCCATGCGCGAGAAAGGGACTCGACATAGGAGAACTTTTTGCGACCAAGTTCTCCCATGTCGAGGGAGGAAGGGGATGAGGATGGGTTGTTGGAGAGGAGGAGAGGAGGAGGTGGGATCGAGTTTTAAGTAGAGAGGGTAGTGGCGTTGTACGCTAGTGTGTTAGCGTGTGGGTAACGTCTTCGTTAGCGTCTTCGTTAGCGTCTCCATGTTACCATCCAGTAAACAACTCTAACCGAGCCTCGCTTAAACCTAAGTATTCCGAATAGCCTACCCACCCTTTCTCTGCCGTTTCCTCTATACAAAATTCCTTTAGGAATAGAATTCACTCCTAACTCGTGGAAATTACTGAATCTGCTTTTCGACCCAGTTACTACTAGGAAATTAAGTTTTATATTCACCTTCGTCCTGCCCCTTTCTCCCTCGGGAGAAGGGGACACATATATGGGACCAGAACCTAGGGTTTAGAGAGCTCTAGGGTGCCACAATTCTCTTCCTATTCATATTCAGAAACAAAAAGGCTGGTTTTTTGTGCTGCCAGTGCTAACACTAAGCTAACCCAAATAGTAGTATACAAATAGAGATAGCAGTATGTAGGCGAGAAAAAGAGGTTTAGCGTACATATCCCACTCTTACCGTAGGCAGGAAATATATAGTAAAGTTGTTAATGATTCCTACCTACCTGCTGCTACCCCTTCTCAACCCTTCCCCTCTAACAAAAACCTCTCAACAATAAAATTCACTCCTACCTCTTATAAATTACTTACTTCACTTTCCTCCCTCAGTACTACAAGGAACGCTAAATACTTAGTTTTACACTTATGAGCTGCTCTGGTAACCTTCAATTCACGGTGGTACTGTACTATTTCCAGATATAAATTACCGCTTCACTGTTCGTGTGTGTGAACCCAAACTCGCAAATTAGAAATCTCATTCCGTCCTTTTTCCATTCACGTACGTCCTGCCTCCTTCTCCCTCGGAAAAGGGGACATATCTTTAACTACCTAATACGTAGGGTTCGGAGGGCCCTAGGATGCTAGTAAGAGCCTTACGGAGCCGCGAGTTAGCGGGCGAGTAGGAAGAGGACTTAAGTAAGTTATGTTTGTTTTTCGGATTATTATATTAGGGGATAGAGGGGGTAGTATAATATAGTTAGGTCGGGAGAGTAGAGTACGAAAGCGTAAACGCGAGGAGTCAAGTAGATGATATTGGATAGGTCATCTTACCTAGTTATGGGAAAGGAAAGGAAATCATGTGTTTAGATGAGTGTAACATTTCTCTTTAGATTTAGGTGTGATAGATCTAACAAATCAAATCAAATAAACATCTCTCTCTCTCTCTCTCTTCCTCCTCAATAAAGACTACCCATCATCACCAAGGCAGTGGATCAACAGTTCAAACTCACGAACGAGGCACATCCAGGATGGAAGGAGCGATGATGTGACTGTGACGGTCGGTATGTTGATGTGTCCAAACCCAAGGGGGTCGCATACAACGCGTCCGCTTTTCATCCCGTGAGCAAAGAATAGCATCATCGGTATTCGCTGCTCAGCTTGAATCCCATCCATCCATCCATCCATTCATTCATCCGACCCTTGATGTTGGCTATGCTGTGCTGTGCTAGGTCGGGATGGATGCTGAGTTGTTGATCGGTGATCGGTATGCGAAGGCGCGAATAGGAAAAAGGAGGAGGTTGGGGGAGGGGAGGGTGATGCAGACGAAGCTTCCACTTAACAAGGAAGAGAGAGGGATAGGAAAATTTGAGATGGAGGACGAATGAAAATACATGACAGGGGATGAGCTTGGAAAGAGAGGAGAAATATAGGTGGTGAGAATGGTGATGGTGCCGTATTAGGATTGTTTGGCTTCAGACCGCTCGAGGGACCTTGGATGGATGGCGGATGAATGGATGGAATGAGTGAGTGATGATGTGTTGTCGTCGAAAGCGCCCGGAGGTATAAAAAGAAGCATAAAAAGCATAATATATTGTTACTCGTGGTCTTACAGAGCCTCGCTTTGCGCGGGGGATCCAATTAGGGTAGGGAGATGGTGGTATGGTAGGTAACCTTGAGAATGGGATGTTGATTGGAGTCAAGATTTCTTTTTCACTTGAGAAATCTCCTGACCATAGAATTTGGAGGATTCTTGGAAATGGAAAAGATCCTGAGCCTAGGGGATAAGAATAAAACTTGGGATAGAAATAGAAATGAGGATATCCAAACCGTCCACTAGGACTGGAAAATGTGAAGCCTGTCGCAAAAGCATGAACCCGTCTTGTTCCAACATATATTCTACTCGTGAATGAATGCTGAGAGCACGCGGGATCACTCCTCGTTCGAAACACCCAACTTGAAGCGAGTCGGAGGAAACCTGGGTGCAAGCAATCGACTGGAAAGAAAGAAAAGCGGCGGTCTTCCTCGATATATAATATAAAACAACGGATGCTTGATATGATATGCTTTCGTTCCTCTTGCCCGGTGGACGTCGTCTTGAGGTGCATATGCACAAACCTGATTCCAATGCAGGTAAGCGCTCCTCTCTCGTGCATCGGGACTGGAAAAAGGTTCAGCTTTAGGGTTCTATTCAGAGTTGTGCAGGACATCACAGCCATAATGCAGGAACTGATTCAGGAAGATCGCGGTCGCACGTTCAAGAAACACGACGGGGACACGCCTCAACTTTATACTCGCGTCCTCGACGTGTTGCGGGAGGCCGTGGGTTCGACGTGAGGGGAAATGTAGGGGAAGACGCATTGATCTTGGCGGGGGGAATGGTGCGTTGGGAGTGGTGGACGCTGGCGGATGGGGTCACGACGGATGAATGACGGGGGATTGATAGGGTGGAATCGCGTCGAGAGAAGCGCGCGGTGGTCTCAGCTGGATCGCGGTGCCGGTGGCTAAATTACCTCTGGCACCCAATCCAAGGAACAAGCAAAGGGATGAGCGTGTGCTGTGCGTGAATGTGGATGCAGGATATAGAGTGGTGCCCCCCGAGTTTTGGAGGTGGAAGACAGACATCTTTGTTGTGATTTTTGGAGTGAAGCTGCAATTTCGAGAAATCACCAGTCGAGGCGGAGATACGGTACCCACAAGCTAGGCCGAGGATAGAAGGTACCCGTACCCGACATCAACAAACACACAGCAACAGCTTGCTCGCTGCACAGATTATCCGAGCGCCCACTTGCGATTGACAACATTGACAAGCTCACTCCACCATCGCCTCACTCTCGCGCTCGCGCTCCCCTCTTACTCTCACTTCACTTGTGCAGAGCGAGGATTGATCACTTCACATCAACTCCACCCCAGACCCAAGAGATCCATTGACGAACACAATTGAGCGGCTGCTTGTCATCACCACACTTCAGTAGACTGTTCCTGGGACTGGAGTATTCACTCTCACTCCACCTTTCTTGGTCGCTTCCTCACCACTTCACCCTCACTCCCACAATGGCCACTCATATGCCAATGTCGGCTGCCCGACAACCTTTCGCGCCATTGAATAGCTCCCGCCTTCAGAATCTCACCAGCCTGAAGAACCGTCAAAATGGTATGTTGACTCTCCGTTTCTACTTTGAACCCCCCTATTGTCAACACCACAATCCCCTCGGCGCACCAGGACTCCTTCCCTCGTGCGTCCCTCCACCATGACACCTCAACTCACACCCCAACCAGCCATCTCCTCGCCCATCAAGCGCAAAGCAGCCTCCTTTGACGACGACGCCGAGAATGTAGACCCCATCATCTGGACTTCACCCAAGCGATCCAAAGCCCAAGATGGCTCATCTCAAGACCCCTCCAGCTATGTCAAGCCCGTCAACTTTTTCCTCACCAAGGCCCCTCCATCGCCCAACGACTTTGCCTCTCTCAAAAGCACACCCGCTTCACCCATCCGTCGACCAATCCTCTCCACGCGTTCACCAGCACCCAAAGTCAACACGGTCTACACGAAAAGCACTCCTCTCTCCGCCCCCGCAGGTCGCTCCCCAACACGAAAGCGCATTGGAATCTTGAGCCGTAGAAAGACGCATGCCCGCGTAGACCCCCCTAAATTCTCAACACCATCAGGATCCGGATTAGGATTCAGCATCGATGCCGCACTCTCAGGAACCATTTCTTCGCGTGCTCGTCCAACTCCAGCTTCTGCTCCTTCACTACCAATGAAAGAAAACGCCCATCTCATCCCAACGCTTCACACCCCGGAGCCAAAACCCTCATGGTCATTTGAGATCTACGAAGATACCCCCGAGGAACTAGCCACCAATCTCATGGAACACTCAACTTGCACCCTCGACATCTCATCCGACGAAGAATCCGCCACGCGTCTCCTCGATGAGCGGGGGAAAGAGAACGTCCCACCCCTCGACGACATCTCTCAAACACGCGTGCCCCTCACCTCCTCAGCTTCCTCCCTCGACGGCGCAAGTGAACAGATGTCTGACCTAAAATCCCGCATCCGAGCCCGACATTCACAGCGCAAAATCGCAGCCGGAGAAATCGACATTGACCGCTCACCACTTGGTGATCTAGCAGCCGAGGATTTCTACGCGGAAGGATGTTGTTCATCTTCAGTTTTCATCATCGCTCCCGACGAGACGGCTTCGGACTCGGACTCCGCTCCCGTCGATGAAAATTCCGCGCCCGCCATCCCGGTCGCCGACCTACCTTTCGACTTCAATTCCGACATCAAAGGCAAAGGTCGTGAAATCCCCGAACACGAAGCGATGCCATCAAATCTCACAGTCGACGCTTTGATGGCAAAAAACGACTATGAACTCGCACCTAAAGCTCCACTCTTAGAACCCATCGAGAAGGCCGAGGAAGGGTTCGAGATCTGGGCTAGTAGCAGTGCGAAGGATGAGGGTGAAGATGAATTATAACTTCTTCCTCTCTTCTTTCCTCTCTACTTCCCTCTTTTTCTCGACTCGTATGAAAGCGAAAGGGTGTGACCAGCATTGTTTACTTTTTGGCGTGATTGGATGGATGGATGAGCTTCTGACGAAAACGAACGATTTTGTAAATGAGGCGTCTCGTGGGTTTGGATCAGGATTGGATGGATCATGATATCTTGGGGACGTTTCGGAGTAGTATTCTGCTTTTTTTTCTTTGTTTTGGTATTTTGGTGTTTTGGCACGCGAGTTGTTTTTAGTTGTTTTTGATCATTTTTAGGGGCGGGGAGGGGAGTACGGGCTTGGATTGGATGGGATTGGATGGATGGGAATAGTAAGGTGTATGTATACCTGGATTTGTTTTGGACTCTGGCGTACCTACATTACCCCCTTTTGCGTTTCCCAATAAGATGAGATAGGATGAGATAGGATAGGATACATGAAGTTAATGGATTGATTAATTGATTGATTGATTGATAAATATCGTACTCTTACCTACCTATCTTTTTCACATCTGTCTACAAGTATAGCGAGATTTACTTATCTAAACTCAATAGGTGAATTGATCAACTTATTAATGACCTAATCCATATCAAGAAGTCAAGAAAAGAAGAGTTTTCAATTTTTCACCACCTATCAAGTACTCAAGAGCTGCAATCGCCATCATAAAGGTCAAGCAAAGCGACTTTTCTACAAAGTCCACTCCTTCCCTACCTAGGAAAGAAAATCCCAAACTGAGATCAGGACTAGACTAGTAGACAAGCAAAAGATCGTCCAGATATCCCTCCCCGAGTAAAAAGAAGCAATCTCAAGAAAATCATCAATCAGCAAACGCTCAAAGAGATTCGTCCCATATACCCTCACAACTTTCTCACTATACCCTCAAATCATGTCATATCGACCCTATTGCTCACAACCTAAGTATCAATCTCACCCAACCTCGGTGCACCCCCCGCAACCCAATCATCCCGTTCATAGTATCGGAAAACCAGATCATATCCATCAAAATCATGAACAATCCGATCAACTCTTCGATATCCCTTAATCCTCTCCATCTTCTTGCTTCTAATCACGCCATGATCAACTTTCCCCTCTTCGTCCTTTACCTCCTTGACCTCGGCCGGTGTCTCAGCCTTCGCCTCAAAAAGCGTAACGCTGAATCGTCCAGGCTTAAAGATATTAACAACATGTTCAATAATCTCGACCGTGTCGCGACCAGATTGGCGTCCTGGGACGTTCGTTTCGAAGGATGCGTATGAGCATTGCGGTTCAGGCGTTACATGGACGGTGAAGTAGTGCGTTGCTGCTGCTGAACCTGCCTTGTCGGGGGAGGGGATGACTCCATTAGCGGAGAAGCCGCAGGGTGTGAAGAGATAGGCGTCGACTTTGGCGTCAGGATAGCGAGAAGTAGGATATACATCTGAGAGACCGCAAGCTTCTGAGACAACAGTGCCCAGGGCGTGACCTTCGGCACTGAGCTCCTCTGGAATTTCAACGGCTTTTTCTTGTGTCGGTATTTCATCTGAGGGGGTGTTATCAAAGACGTCGATTGTGTCATCCGAGTTTCCCGCTGTGGTTCCATTCAGGTTTGAGGCTGCCATTCCCGTTCCGCTCAAGTCACCTAGACTTTCTGATGCTTCTTTTCTTGCTTCCTTTGCTCTGACGGCGTATTTACCCTCCGCGACCGCACTAGCGTGTTCAAGGTAGAATTGTTTAGCATTCTCCTGCTCAAGATCCGTCATCAGAATTTCCAAAGTTTCATCATCATTGGAGAGTGAACCTTGTCCAATAGCATATGCTTCGCTATTCGGAAGGGTGAGGACTTTAGTTTCAGTTGGACTTGTGCGATCGGGGGTTAATGGAGGCGTAAGGCAGGAGTTTGGTGTAGTCAAATAGAGATACCAATGATCACCATTCATCTTGCCCACCATATATGCACTGCCACCTGTGAACATCTCATCGAGAAACGAAACTTCGGTCTTCCAGCTTCGGTGAGGGCCATGTTGTTTGTCCGGAAACAAAAAGTTCTTGCGGCTGTAAAACACTCGGTAAGGGGTAGCTGCAGTGGTGACTTTGTCAAGAGGTTCATCAACAGGAGCAGGGAATCCAGCTTCGACGGCAGCGATACGCAACATACGTCGGAGACCAAGTAGTAGAGTTGTTGTACCACAAGTCTTAAGAATGAGCTTGTGTGGGAAGACAAACATGCTCGATTCGGAAAGCAAGTAAGCGTCGACATGATCAGACTCCACAACCGAAAGGACCTTGCAATTGACCAAGTCCAACATTCCCTTCCATGTCTCCGAGGAAACGGCTTTTAATCCATTCTTCTTTGCTCCGGGAGGAAGAAGTTCTGGTGCTGCAGTAAACCAGACCTCTAGCAATTTCTCCGGACCTATTTTTTTGTCAGTCTTTTGATCATGTTATCAGTTTTGTACAAACCTACCTTCAAATGCATTGCTACTATCAAGGTCAATTGTGGCCTGGCGATTGATGGTCAAATGAGGAGTGCCTTCAGAAGGCGAGAAGGTAGTCTCGGTAGGGACATTGAGGTCAGCCATAACTAATCGTTTGAAGATGCGGTTGATTTTATCTCTGATTTATGGGTCCCCAGATAAGGTTTCTTCCAAAAATATCAAAGAGATCTTGGCTGGCAAGTACGGTGAAGCACTATCTGCCACCCAGACGAACCTTGCCGTGTCCGTCTGAGAAGAGAAGGCCCACAGAACCGTGGGATACGAAAATATGCTGGCGGAGCCAGCTAAATTTATGGAGTGTAGGAACGTCTTTGGGACGTTATGGAGGTCGGGTACAGAAGGGGATGAAAAAGTCCTTTTGAGAAGGAATGTTGAATATTTTTGTCGTTCTCGCTCTGTAGATGCCGATACCTTAAGTGGATATCGGGTCTAGCAGACGAGAATTATCCGCGATGAGTTGGATTTATCGTTCTCAAAGGAGGGGCGTGGCTGGTGCTATCGAGGCCTGGGAGATGATATGTTAGCAATTGTGATTGTCACAATTCTTGAGGTTTGGAAGTAGAGTGTTTGTCGAGCGAAGCTATTCAATGCTTGTATCTTTATAAGAGCCAAAGGTTTCCTTAAGGGGTAGTCTTGAAAAACAGTGAAGTACCTGCCAAGAAGAATTCTCGGGTGAATGGAACTGAACTAACTTTGCTGGCTTGGATAGGAATCGCAGGAGATCTCGAGTACTCATAGAGTAAGTGAGGGAAAGGTGGAAAAAGTTTGCAATGCCACGTCTGGTATTCAGCGTGACAATCTGCAAAGACGTTGCGGAGATTCAAAGACTATTCATTTGGAGAAAGGTATAAGAAAGGTATAAAGGCTGAATTCGCTGAATACGATCGTGGAGAGGTTTTATGTATGGAAAGACACGAAAGATTACGATGTTGTTGAGGTCAATGTCTGTTGGTTTCAGAAATTTTCTTGTCGTGTGCTGTGATCGCGGGGTCGGTCGCTGCTAAAGTCATTCAATTAGCGCCTACCAAAGACTCTGGGAATCTATACAGGTTCACCTACATCAATTCCTCCTCTAGAAGGAAGCTTCCAGAACGGATGAGGGTAAGCGGTAATGTATGGAGTTGTCTGGCAGACCAGGAAGATGGTACCAGTAGTTGATGGTCGGTGTGGTGCTTGGACAGACAGTTGCTCATGAGTGGTTTTGGCACAGCTGGAGCACTTTTTTCTCCCATCCATCCACCTGCCGAACTTCTACCTTACCCCGCCACTAGCGTCATTCTTGTCTTTCATTGGCCAGAAAACTCTCCTCATTCATCCCCATGGATACCCAACGTAGTACAAAATTCAATATCATCAATTACCGCTCACTGGATGAATTTTCCTTACTTTAGCATCCTTTCAAGCACTACCCATTCTTTTTCAATCACACCATAAAAATTAACTCATGGTATGTGACATCACTTATAATTGGGTCAGACAATAGAACCAGCAGTAAATAGCCGCCATGTTCATGCCCATTAGTCGGAAATAGTTAGGTCAACAACCTAAAATAGTTCATGTGGGTATAATAGCGACAGAGCTAGTCACGAAAACTGTAGAGCAAGCCTTCATGAAATCTGTCAAACTTTCACATTGCATCAACTCCACGCCAAAGAACTCCCTGCGACCAAAGTAAGACTATTTATACAATATCCAATATCGGCCGTATGCTATAAAAAACCCCCTCCCTTGTACCCACCGCGAATGCTCGCTAAATAATTTCCATGCTTGAAATAAAACGCCGTGTATCTTTTGTTCTGTTGACTCTTGTTTCATAGCAGCCTACTCTGGACCTAAATTTTGGATCCTAATACGCCCTCATACTACCGCTTAAACATATAACTCAAATCTGGGAGTGACTTCAAGACACCTTGTACAATTCTGTCCTGCTCCATTTCTTCCTTTGTTCGTCTAGTACTAGGCGTGCCTGGTGAAGGGATGGGAACACCCGTTGTTGCAGCCAATGAAGAAGATTTCAAAGGGCTTGGTATGGATGCTGAATTTGGGTTTGTAGTTGCTCTTGATGCGATTGTTTTAGACATACTCGCAGGAACTGAAGCTGGAGCAGGCGAATCAAAAAATGAGAAATCCGCGGAAGCCCAAGGATCGTTGACAGTGTTGGAAGAGGAACCATGCACTGCAGGTGCGGGAGAAAATGGCTGTAAGGTTGGTACAGAATTGGTAACGGGTACAAAATTTGAAGATTGAGGAGACGGCTGTGTGGGAGACAGTATTTGATCCAAACTCATGGATGGACGATGGCTATTGACTGGTAGTATCGTTGCTGCTGTCGGACTTCTCATCGATGAAACATTTCCTACCAAGCTTTGTGATTTTTTGTGCCGCAAACTGTTAAGTGGCAAGACTGGGACAGCAACAGCGACTGGTGAAGATATCATCTCACCCCAATCTTCATCTTCTTCGTCATTGAAGCTATCCGGGACTTGTTTGACAGGCTGGATGGGAGCAGGCTGAACCGGCTGGATCCTCGGTAGAGCAGGTTTAGCGAAGGAAGGAGACAGTATAGTCTCAAGCTTTGTGGCAGGAAACAATGTTTGAGGAGCAAGGTCTCCCACCTTTGGCACACTACCTGTAGACGAATGCTGACTTCGTGATGGCCTCTTTTGCTTTGGCGAAGAACCTTTCGTGGCAGAGCTGACGCTGGATTTCAAACCAGACCTCTTATGGGAGGATGAAGGCCTGCTTGAAACCTTCTTGGAACTTTCGCCATGGCTTTCTGGATTCCATCCGAAATTCGCAACAGGAAATGGGGTCGTCTTTTCCCTCTTAGCCTCATCTACACTCGTCGTGGATTTGACTGAAGTTCTCCTCCGGGATGCCGATGAAGTACGACCCTGGGTGGCAGAACGATCTTTCACTAAGCCTTTTGGCCATTCTCTGGGTACGTCTACAGGAGCTGCAGCAGATGTTGACTCGGATTTCTTTCTAGATTTCCTTTCTGCGAAGGCCGCAGATATAGAAGCCGGTTTTGCGTTGGGATCGTTCCAACCAAAAATAGAGCCTGCCTTACTACCGCCCCCAAGAATAACACGCCCACTAATACGATCTTCTTCTATCCAGCGAGCCACAACCTTTAAGGTTTCATCGCGAACTTGGGATTGTTTCCAATTTACCCGGACATAGTTCTCGTCGTCTCTTGTGTTATGTTGTCTCATTGGACCATAGCGAGAGAGTCGATACCAGATCCTACGTTCTTCCGTAGATGCAAATGAGTCATGAGGAATATTGTCTGGTATGAAAACCCTCTCCGGCTCAGGAGTATCCTTTAGATCTGGATAAATTTGCTCTAGTAGTGGTATAACAAGCGTCCAGGTAATCGGTCCATAGTCCTTCTCGCCTATATCTTTGACCGAAGCTTGTTCTGAATCACCTGCCGTAGCTGTGATTTGGAAAGCACTTTCATCTTTTATTGATTCGCTATCAGATTGGCCGTCTTCAAAATCCCCAAAGTCTCCAAAGTCATCATTTTCACTCTCAGCATCTGTACCCGGCTCCTCCTGATTGCAATCAGCGTCTCCCGGTTGATCTGTGCCTTCGCATTTTGGGTTCTTTTTTTTCGAATTCGTGCTTATTAAAACAGGTACTTCCTCCTTTGCAATGGTATCAAAATGCTCTACAAGCTCTTGCACTTTTGTAGAGACCGTTCTAGGTCTCTGGGGACGCAGTTTCGGTTCTTCATCGAAAGAAGTTCGAGGAGATTCAGAGAAGATTTCATCATGTTGGCTTCGATCAGAAGGCGATGAGGAAGGCCGTAAAGATGGGGGACCAATTTCATTCGTGTTTGGAGATTCTTCTTTTTCCACAACTTTGGCAGTATCCTTCTCTTTGCCTAAGCCTGTTTCCTCCTCTCCCACCTTCTCACGTTGCACAGCCGTCTCCTGAGATACTTCGCTGACCGACTCAGGAAACACGTCGATCGCAGAATCTATACTGACTGTTTCTGACAGAATCTCTCCGTTCGTGATATTTTCCTGTGTAGCACTTTTCGTGGTGCTTCTGCCCTTCGATTCCTCCTCTTTAGGCGCGTTGGTTGGTGGATGAACCACCAGTTCCGCATGTTCGGTTTCTAAAGTCCAAGGATCGATCGAGCGTTGTCGTATTATTTCCTTGTCCTTTTGTAATGGGCTTGGGACCAGATTCGTGTCCGCAATAGGCGCTTCATCATTCCAAGCATCTGGCAAGTGGCCGCTCTTTTGTTTTTCCAGCCCCTCGATGTCATCCACGCTTCCATTCCACCCGTCGTTCATGCCATCCAACCCGAAACCAGTGCTAGGCTTCTCGGAGGGCATCTCTGCCCAGTCCCCCAAAGCATTGTCGCCATTATCTCCGCTTATATCGTCCCAAGGCGAGGCTGTTGAAGACTGGAAGGCTAGGCTAGGAGCTTTCGCGGGCGTTTTCGATATATTAGTGTCGGTTGGTTTGGTAAAGGTATTGGTACTGGGTGATTCCGTCTCATCGGCCCAAGGCGATCCCCAAGGGTTATCCATAGTTGAATAACTGAGGGAGGAATCTCATATTGAGATTGGGATGGGAGCTGGAGATGTTGTCACCTAGAACCGGTCATTACGGAGTGTTGTTGAGAGACAATGTTGGATGGAGTTTGAGTAATGTGTGGTGGTGTGGTGCAGTGCTCCTTCAGCCGCCCATTCCTCCATCTGACGAGTTGAGGCGAGGCTCGCAAATACGGTTACGGAGTACGGGTAACGGCAAAGCCGCGGCCGCACTGCACAGGGATTCAGAGACCTGCATGCCTGGCTGCCTCAATCTCAGCCAAAGCGGCCCTGCACCCACGGCACCTTCACCCGTATGTGCAGGTGCGTTGCGTTGCGTTGCGGTGGTTGCTTGCTAATCGATAAGAACTCCGGTCTCCCTCCGGACTATCCATGGATATATTTTCTTGACGTCGTTGCAGACCATACTCGAGCCCGAGGATGTTGCTGAACATTGCCATCGCATCCATATCGCCCTCTGCCTCTGGCACTTGATCCAAAGTATCGCAGCATCTCGAGATGTCTCTCGCCAAAGTCAAGCACATCGTTCTTGTAAGTATCACCGCACCACACCGCACCCACCACCACGGACGGGCCAAAACACATTCAAACACCCCTCTAACAAAGCCCGCAGGTCCTCTCGGGCAAGGGTGGCGTGGGGAAATCATCCGTCACCACCCAACTTGCCCTCTCCCTCGCCCTCACCGGCCACTCGGTTGGGATTCTTGATATCGACCTCACTGGACCTTCCATTCCCCGTTTGTTTGGCATCGAAGGCGCAAAAGTCACACAGGCACCCGGCGGATGGGTGCCGGTCCCAGTCCATGCTGCGAACCCCGCGGCAGGCATTGGCTCTCTGGCGTGCATGAGCCTGGGCTTCTTGCTGCGAGAGAGGGGTGACGCCGTGGTCTGGCGTGGTCCCAAGAAGACAGCCATGGTGCGCCAATTCTTGTCAGATGTCTTATGGGGCGAGCTTGATTATCTCTTAATCGATACTCCTCCAGGAACGTCAGACGAACATATTTCGCTGGCAGAAACTCTTCTCAAGAACGCATTTCCAGGACAAGTCGCTGGAGCCGTGGTGGTAACGACCCCTCAAGCGGTGGCGACGGCCGATGTCAAGAAAGAGCTGAACTTTTGTGTCAAAACGGGCATCAATGTCATCGGAGTGGTGGAAAATATGAGTGGCTTCGTGTGCCCCAATTGCTCCGAGTGCACCCATATTTTCAGTGAAGGCGGTGGCAGAATCATGGCGGAAGACTTCAAAGTCAACTTCTTAGGAGTCGTCCCCATTGATCCCCAATTCATCATGTTGGTCGAGACGGGAAGAATACCAGTGTATCCCGAAGGAACCATGGTGAAAGGAGAAGCTTTGGCGAAGAACCAGAACATCAAGGAACCCAGTGAGTCTAGTCCACTGGTCGAAAAGTACACGAAATGCTCCTTGCAGCCAGTTTTTCGAGATATCGCTCGAGATGTTGTTGCAGCTGTGAGGAGAGGGACCTCATGACACAATAACGAATACGATCCCACAAATACTGCAGGTTCATGGGTCACGGAAAGATTTGGTGACGGTTCCTGCATGGCGACGACGTTTGGGTTACATCTCGATGCAGAGTACAGCTTCATGGATTCGTGGCAACCATCAGACTCTGGCATTGGGTTTATGTCTTGATCAGGGATGTCCCTTATCGTGGGCAAATGGACGAGCTTCAAAAGCCCTGAATGCTTAGATATTATTATTGACCTTGAGAGGTCCCCAGTACCGTGCTTCTGGAAAGTAATCACGTGAATATAAAGATTTATCTGTTGGAGTCGTGTTGAGTCCCGATAGACAGGTTCAGGGGTTGAAAAGTTTCTACAAGTCAAGTTCACTTAGCTCTTGTAGGGTTGGTCAAATTATATTTATATGAAATATAATACCCGAGTCATTTCTAGGTTGTAGATAATAGAGTCTTTAGATTACAATTTACTACTTTGATAGTAAATAGAGCCGAAGAATGTCCTAAGAACAAGTTAGAAATAGGATAGAAAGTGGTGCTTTCTCGGGCCTTCTGCAACCTTTTTTACCACTTATCCTTTTCCTTGGCATCTCTAATCGTCGCTCTAGCCTTGCAATAAAGATTACTTTTAAATTAAGGTAGAAGTCTATTATGGAGTAGAAAGCTTAGTTTTCTATTAGTTACACACCCTAGGAAGCAGGTCTCTACCCCTCCTATCGTGCCTCGGTAAAGTAATAAGTAACAACAAGCTATACATAATTATATATTCGCTCTGAGTAAGCCCTTCCCGTATCTGGCAGTTATCTTGAACGCTTAATTGGATGTCTCAATGCTTTTTCCTCCCGAACTGGATCCCATCGGAGAATAACTACAAGGGATATCTTTGGCCTGTTGTTTTTGTCTGCCCCATCGCCAAGGGGCAGCCAAGGGCGGTCTAAAGGCAGTATTTTCCCAATTGACCGTCTAATCACTTGGCCAGTGGTTGTGCCTCGTTAGACACTCTCAAGATTGGGAGGAATTTCTTTTTCTTATCCCTCCGATTCCTCAGATGTGCTTGTTCATTATCCACAATGTCGTTCCGTTTCGAGTTTCATGTCGCCTAAACACCTCAACATTTCTTGTTCCCAGCACTGCGGTCGACTATGACTTCCCCGCAAAAGTACAGACTCGAGGACAGCCCGCCCATTATACCGTTCTGGGGATATTACGAGGGTGCACCAAGACAACACCAAGAGATCCCAAGATACTCCCAAGCGTCCAGAAAGTTCCTCCATTGTTTACTCCTTCCTCGTTAGACGATTGGACCCTGAAGCCCTCAACAGGGTAATTCCTATTGGTTCTTGTCAGAAGACTTATCAAGTTCTGGTGTGAGACAATCCGGCGATGGAGCCGTTGCTGGTGGGGATTCTGGTGGTGGTGGGTCGACACATTACTCGGCCCAGAGGGGAATCTTTACTTGGCTTTGATAAGGTTGACTATGTTTGGTTAGTTACCGTAGCTGTTGAGATGAGTAGCCAAGGTGATTTCGCGGTCCATCGGCGCCCTTCAATATGCAAGAGAAGGCCGTGGTGATGGTAAATCCCATCGCGTGGTAGGAGTATAAAGTGCAGATCCCTCCCCAAGACCACTTGATTTTGGATTGTCCGTTCCCTCTCTTCTAGAGCTAGTCCATTCTCTTGCACTCCTTCGTCCCATTACTAGTCGCCTATAATGGCGGAGAAAGAGGCAACGACGTCCGCCTCTAGCAGCGATGGCGCTCCTGTCCACGAGACTGCTATTGGTACCCAAGAGCGATACGGTTTCTGGACGAGAATGGGTTGTACCCCCGAGTCGTTCAAAAAGCGTGAGCTGTTGGGTGACAACCAATTGGACCAGACTCTCAAGCCCCGCCATCTTCAGATGATCGCAATTGGAGGATCTATTGGTGCTGGTTTCTTCGTCGGTTCTGGAGGTGCTTTGGCGAGAGGTGTAAGTTTGGCCTGGAATTCCTTGATTCGAGACTTGAGCTAATCCTTTCAAGGGTCCGGGTACTCTACTTATCGATTTTATGATCATGGGTGTCATGATCTTCAATGTTGTCTACGCTCTTGGTGAACTCGCTATTATGTACCCGGTCTCTGGTGGTTTCTACACTTATTCTACTCGCTTCATCGACCCTTCATGGGGGTTTGCTATGGGATGGAGCAAGTCAATCTGATTCTCGCAGGGTTGCGACATGCGCTAACGAATATTAGACTATGTTTTCCAATGGGCTATTGTTCTTCCTCTTGAACTTGTTGTCGCCGGTTTTACCGTTCAGTACTGGAATACAGAGATCAATGTCGCAGTTTGGATCACGGTTTTCCTCGTCGCCATCATTCTCATCAACGTCGCTGGTGTTCTTGGTTTCGCCGAAGAAGAGTTCTGGGCTAGTGTCCTGAAACTTGTTGCGGTTGTTACTTTCATGATCATTGGTGTTGTTCTCGGTACGTTTTTATATATACATATCGATACCCAAACATGAATGCCTGCTAATACTCCTTAGTCTGCGGTGGTGGTCCAGCTGAAGGCAAGTACAGCGAATACTGGGGTGCCCGTCTTTGGTACGACCCAGGAGCCTTCAGAAACGGCTTCAAGGGAGTCTGCTCCGTCTTCGTCACTGCAGCTTTCGCCTTCTCCGGAACCGAACTTGTTGGTCTCGCCGCTGCCGAAGCCGAGAACCCAGCCAAAGCTCTCCCAGGAGCCATCAAACAAGTTTTCTGGCGTATCACTCTCTTCTACATTGTCGGTCTTCTCTTCGTTGGTCTTCTCGTTGACTCCACCGATGAGCGTCTTCTCGGAGCCAACCCTTTCATCGATGTTGCTACTTCGCCCTTCGTCATTGCTGCCAGAGATGCTGGTCTCGCTGGTTATGATCATTTCTTGAACTTCGTCATTCTCATTTCCGTTATCTCTATTGGTAACTCTGGTGTTTACGGTGGATCGCGTACACTCTGTGCTCTTGCTGAGACCGGATACGCGCCCAAGTTCTTTAGCTACGTTGATCGTGCCGGTCGCCCTCTACCAGCCACTATTCTCATCCTTGTCTGTGGTCTTTTGGGATATGTCAGTTTAAGTTCCCAAGGAACTGTTGTCTTTGACTGGCTCCTTGCTCTTTCTGGTCTTGCTGCTCTCTTTACCTGGGGATCTATTTGCTTGGCCCACATTCGATTCAGAAGAGCGTGGGCTTACCACGGACACACTCTTGATGAGATTCCTTTCAGAGCCGCCTTTGGTGTTTATGGTTCTTGGCTTGGATTGATTTTGATCTTCTTGGTTTTGATGGCTCAGGTATGTTTATTGTCTCCTTCCTTCCCAACAAAAAGTGTTGGTAACTAACCATTTCCAGTTCTACACCGCTCTCTACCCCATCGGTAATGAAGGCCAAATCGGTACTGCCGAGGATTTCTTCAAATCCTACCTCGCTCTTCCAGTCGTCATGCTCTTCTTCGTCGCCGGATGGATCTGGAAGAAGCCAGGATGGTTGAGAACCAAGGATATGGATGTTGATGCTGGACGCAGAGTGGTTGATTGGGATCGCATTAACGCTCATAAGGCGCTCGTTGCTTCGTATCCTTGGTGGAGACGGACGTACGAGACTCTCTTTTAGATGGTTATGTGTATGATGATGAGCTAGGGGTTAGCATGTAATGTACGCGGGATGAACGGGTGGGGGACTTAATGCTTAATTGATGTGATGGTTATATGTATTGAGAACAGGCAATCCTTTTTGGGTTGTAGGAGATACATTTTCTTTTGTTAAGGGCCTGTTTTCCGAGACGATATTGAGCTGCAATATCGTCGAATGGCATATTATGTGGGCCATATTTGGCTGTCCAAGAGTCCGTCTACGTACAGAGCTAAGTGCCTAGTAAACCTTAATCCCTAGGATATTGAGGCATAATATCCTCCTACTAAAAGATGTCGAAAAAGGACTTATTACTTAGGACCAATAAGTCAACCTTAATATCGACCTTGCGAGCGCTCTATATACCCTATTCCTAGTATTTATAAGCGTCTAGAGCCTAACTTTATATCTAGTTAAAAATCTTATATATGTTCTATAATTTTAGGGAGTAAACAAAGTATTTATCGTTAATTACGCTACCTTATATTATTATACGTTCACTTAGGGATTTTTACCCTATTAGGCTCTATTACACTAAAGCTATAGCGTGTGTACCCTAAAGGACCTTTTAGTCTTATATACGAAGTTACAATTCTAACTACCAAGTACAAGAGCCACTTTTGCACCACGGTCCTAAGGGTCTCTACTATGGACCTTCCAAGCACTTTTCCCCCACAGGATATTGAGGCTCAATATCGTCGGAAAACAGGCTCTAAAACGACTGATTGTCTGATTTTGTGATGTAGTCTCCCATATATCACTTGCATTAGCATTAGCTTTTATGATACTGAGAAGTATATAGCTATCACTAACCTCATAAATTGACCTGTATACGCCAACAACCCTCGATCATCTAAACCATTAACTCGTTTAACCGAGCCACTTAATTCACTCAATTTCCCCCCTTCCTAGGAAAATTGTAAAGCCACAAATCAAACCATTATCTACATCCCCCATGATCCCTCTTCTCACTCTTCCGGCTACTATAATATCTCTCTCTTCTGCCAAACCCCATTTCGTTACCCAGTTTATCACTCAACCTGTTAAGTGTTTCCTTTACTTAGCGTAGTGAGGGGGGATTCATGGTCCAATTTATCAACTGGTACCCTTATTTTGCTATCGGTCTTTGGTAGGAGCATGTTCTGTTTGGAGGTCATCATCCCGGCTGTCGAAAGGTACTTAATACAGATTGGTATTCTTTTACATAGTTGCCCACAACCCCAGAAACCTTGATCAAAAACTACTGGATATTGGACTTCAATAGTTCATTTTACTAATCAAGGCTAAAATGAAAGTGAAATCGCTCATTCGCTCCGATACAATCATTAGATTCAGTGAAAGGCCCCACAAAGATTTCCTGCGCGCAAGTTCTGGGCTTCTCATCCCCAGATTAGTTCCCCTTCTTCTCTGGTGGATGTTCTCCATAGCCAGGTCCATGACCTGTCTCATAAGCCATAAACACAGCGAACAGCACCCCAAGAAATACCACTATAAAAATAGGCTTGGCATAATCCCAAATCTTCCTGAACCTGATCTCTTCTTCATCCGTTTCAGTATCGGGAATACTGGCCCATGTGCTCCACCGCTTGGGTCTGAATTTAGAATTAGAACTATTGATTGAGCCATAGCTCGGGCCATTTTCTTCGTCTGGAATCAAAGGATTTTGTTGTGGTTCGTCATTGTTCTAGGGGTTATCACGTGAGCAGAAGTCGTTTTAAAGATGATGATATGGATGTCTATTGTGGTTTTTGTACTTACACGAGCTTTAGGGTCTGTTCTAGGTTGACTCATGTCTCTGGTAGCACGTTTTCAATCACTCGAGTCTCCGCAATCGACTGCTGTTTTCGTTGATGCCGTGTCCGCTTTGATTTCGGGCCAAGGGAGACTTCAGGAGAGAGGCATGCTTTTTGGGCGAATTAGATGTCTGAATAGAACGCAAGCTATCCAATTAAGTATCTTTCGAGAAGATGAGGCAGAATTTGGTGATGTTAGATATGGATATCAGATGTTTCTGTTGTCGATTCTTTGAAGTCTTGAGAAAGGCTGTGCAAAGATCTTGGCACGGAACTCGTATAATCTTTCTTCCGAACCCCTTTCTTTGGAACACAACTCGGTTGACGACTTCACTAAAAGCTCGAAACATCAAAATAAACAGCCATTCCTAATTTCAGAAACTCATTTCTGTTTGAACTTTCTTCGTTCTGGCAACCTACAGTACCATTCTGAGCCTTGAGCCTTCAGTCTTGAGCCATCCTCTTTTCCTTGGGCGACTGACTCTGCTTGCTTCTCAACTCTTTTGTAGCACTAGTGAAAACCATTTGTGGCTCGTCCCCAGCCGCTGATATCGAAATCTTGTTGTTTCCATACTACTATTATTGTCGCCTATCTCATTCGTTGATTTGCCGAAAAACCTTTAGTATGCTCACTTCTCGAGCTCAAGCCAAAGAAATACCCATGGTCAACTCCCCCATATCCAAACGCAGCCCTTAGCTTACTCAACGATAAAGATTCCACAGTTGTTTTTATTCCTTATGGGCACTCTCCTCTACTACCTGTCTATCAGTGGTCTTCACTGATACCAAGCTTTACTTCAATGCAGCAGAGAGGATACCAAGAGTTGAAATTTAGACCAATTATCGTAAGGGGTATTCTAAGATACAGACTGGCCACCCCATTATAATGCCAAGCAAAAACAATATACGGATGTAATGACAACGCTGCTCCCATAGGATCCTGTTGGTTTGAATTTACGTGTATAAAGTCGGTAGACAAATAAGGAATGAGTGTGATGCAATAGGCCTATATTATGTGGTATAACTAAGTCCTTGTTGTATTGCATGCTGAAGTAAATGTAGCTGGCTGAGTCCCTGCGTACTTGTAGGTGTCATTGTACGCTAGTCCCAAAGGATCAGCTACGCTCGGAGCTAGCTAATAATCATTTACTATTATAAACCGACAGACCCAAACAAATAGGAGTTTTCCATTGAACGCCACCTTCTCTGTTTATCTGTTTACTTCAAGCGAAGGACATCAATGTGAGAATGGAAGTAGTACAACCTATGGAGACGTTCCATAAGTTTGTGTCAGTATATAATTGTCGAACTATTAAATGTTACAATTTAATCTGGATATGTTGGTGTCAATTGGTCCTGACGGTTGGTCCATAAATCCTTGGTAAGGTATGCGCCACGCCTGATCCCGGCCCGTAGCCCATCATTCGTAGAAACCCGTTTTACTAATGAACGACCTTTAATACACTTGAAAGGTGTTTCCTGCGAATCCTCATTTTCGGTAGAAAGGAGCGATTGAATTTCATATTCCAATAAGGTAGCCGGGTTTTGTATCAAGCAATCTTCAAGTGCAACATATTTCTATGATTTAGAAACGCATGAGGCACGAGTTTGTCGTTAGAAAGTCTTCGAGAGGACCCATAAAACCTTCCCACGAATGGATATTGTGATTCCTAAATATTCTAACATCTTTCAATAACGATATCAAATTGACGGTGTATACCAGGCCCAGTTGTCATAACAGAGCTCCTATCTTTGGGAGAATGAACGATGGTGTTAACACCATTCATATTGCTCAAGCCTCCAGCTCCAGTCAAAGTATCCATGTTGAGGTATTGTGCATACTTTTGATCTGTGGATCGTAAGATATTCTTGGGAAAACATTCTTGAGGTAATCGCTGGTGATCTATAGATAAATGATACTCAACGCTATTCTTTGGCTCAAATAGCCTTGTTTTAATAGATTTTGCTTTTCCGAGAATACTTTGATAAGTTGAGTTGTGTTGGCGTGCTGCGTAGACTGCAGAGGGGATACAGGCACATATTATTCCCACAAACATTTCGCATAACCTTGGTAAATTAGTATGGTAATGCTGCTCTGAGGAGGCTTTACTTACGAGCAAATATCCACAGGGATTAAGGCCCATGTGACATCTGCGTCGCGCTCAAGCAATACGCGGTAGTAGATACTGCAAGCTGAACAAACGCACGCCCTATCTGGTACTCAGTATTGAACGTGCTTCTTTTTCTGGTTGTACGGTTCTTACTCACATAAACCCTGACAAAAATATGAGTACGAGCCCCATTTTCCGGCGAGCTGACATCTTGAGCCCAGCAACACCTAGGATTGGAACCACAAGTATGTACAAATCTAAAACTAACCCGATGGAGGATTGCGGAACGGACATCCTTGTAAGCTTTAACCTCTTCATTTGACGTTTGATGAGACAGCAAAGATTCTCCCTTCTTAGGTGTTGCATAAATGAAAGAGAATATGGTGAAGAAAGTGTTCAGCATAATATTTAAGACTAAACCGAACCAAATGGCCATCCGAAGCCACCGAATCCAATCGAAAATCTGGAGATAGAATATGAAAAATTAAGTGTTGAGGAAGAGGAAGGTAGGTGGTGTAAGGACAGAAGCGAGGTAACTTGGCTGCAATCTGTTAGACTTTCATTCGCATTGCAAATTTGCCATATAGGAATGATAACTTGCAATCAAAAGGTTTGGATTCGATGCCTGTAATATGCTAATATTCCAGAGATGTGTACCAATTCGCCCTTTCTGCACTCCTGATGTTGTGTCAGTCAAGCGGAAACATTTCGTGTTGAGAGAGTTCTAAAAGCTTACCCCATGTGCACGCAACATAGTATCCCACAGCGCTAAGCTGATTTCATTAGATGATATATTCCACTGAAGTAGGAGTGTAAAGTACCACTGCAAGACTAATCGTTCCTGAACAAATTAGCAAAGACCAACATAAAGATGTCGGATTCTTACCGTCATCCCAAGTCACTTTCTTTGTTAGGAACAGTTTAACGTAAACTCGGTTGAGAAAGAATACAAGTACAACAGCAAGCATTACAGAAGTAGCTTTGACTTGAGCAGCTCCATGGTTCTCTGGGTCCAGAAAATTGGAAACAACCCCTGGAGGGGGTGTGATAGCCGGGGTGTTCCCTAAGAATGCTAAAAGTTCTGGGGGTGCATTTGTAAGTGCTGAGTCGATCTGAGACATGACTGAGTTGAGATATGATATCATTGGTAATCGAAGAATCCCGTACAGTTATCTAGTGAAGCAAGTCCTCTATTAGCGACATAAAAGGGAAGAAGAGAAGATGTCAATTACAACGTGGCAACGCTGATTGGCAGAAGGAAGTCTGGTTTGTCCAACAGCCAACAACCATCTTTCTGTAGCACATCAAACAGTATAGCCAGATCCAGTTATCGCATATACAGATTTACGTATAAGGCTATGCAAAATTTGTGTAAGTATGCTCATCAGGAGTACAGTACTGTACTGTACATGCGGATGTTGTACAGTATCTGCATTTCTCTAACCGCCTACCCCTGCAGGTTTTGACCCCACAATCCAACAGTCACATCACGTCACTCCTCTTCTGCAGCCTATAGAACCTAGATGTTGGTGAATGCTATTGCATGTGCACTGAACTGTGGCCTGAGATAGGGTAGCCATTAGCTGGCAAATGAAGTCCAAGTTGTAACAGAACCACAAAAAAACCCGAGGACCAGACAACCTTCACAAACTCAAGATTTCAGCCAACAAGCACTCGCAATTTATTCAAACAAACAAAGCCACAGCTTGCTTCGTTGTAATTGTAGACTTGTGTTGGCAAATTCTGTCACTATAACGTCGTCTTAAATTTTGCTTGTTGTGACCAAACAATATAGAACTTGTTATAGTTTTGCCACCTCTGAAGATACCCATTACTTGATTAGCGGAAGACATCTTCTCTTGATTGATGAATCATCTTGTAGGTTACGCACATGAAATAGCTAGAATAGTAGTTTGAATGAAGGTGATCAAGACGCTTTATGCGTGACCTTTTTGGCATTGGGCTGACAGGTGCTGTAAAAGACCCAACTGAAACTCGATATACGCTATAAACGACTATTATAATAAAGTTATAGCACAGATATTCATTTATCTTGATATACGTATGCTAATAAAAAGTAAAAGGGGACAGTCATTCCAAACAATTTAGTTGACTATTTTAGCTGTAAATCAGTCATTTGTCTGAGAAGTGGTCAATATTTGCCGGCACTTTCTTCATTTATTCCCGTGCATTTGAACCACTTCTATCAAGGAGAATATCTGAGCATAACCCATTTAATTGTCCCATTTTACCCCGAATGATTCTAGTAAGGTCAACAAATCAGTGAAAATCTCAATTCTCGCAACTTTTCAGCGTCTTTACTTTTAGCGGACGAGCCACAAAGCACTACATCAAAGCACAATATCCCATTCAGTTTCCTCCAAACCCTTTCTAGGAACAATATCCACAATTACCTTCCTCTCTGGCGGCGCGGTCTGCAAGGACATATTCTCCAGATTCTGACCCGGCTCACTCCAAGCACCTCCTTCTGGAAGCAAATCAAACCTCATAACCAACATAGCCACAAGCGTCGCAAACTCCAGCAAAGCAAAGTTTTTCCCCGGAAACAGATTTACCCCTCCTCCAAAGCCTCGAAAAGCATTCGTGGGGGTTTTCCCAGAGAAACTATCAGCGTGAAAGGTACTTGCGTCTTCACCCCATGCTTCTTTGTCGAGATGGAGGGCTTTGTTGGCAATCATTTTCACGGAATCTTTCTTGAGGAGATAGTTTTCGGGACCGAGGTGGGTGTCTTGCATTACCATTCGTGGTCCTGTGCCTGTTGCACGGAGTCTCATTGCTTCTTGGATGGCGGAGAAGAGGAGTGGTGCTTCTTTTATTCTTCGAAGATCTATATTTCGCAGCGATCCCTTACCGGTAGTGCTATTCGTCTCTGTTATCTTTTCCACTTGTTCTCTAACTTACTTGAGAACAACATGATCAGAAAAGATATGGAAAATAGTCCAGAATGCGGTTGGAACCGTGTTAGCGAGAATAGCGATTCCGTTGACGCATTCGAACTTTGCTAGGTCGATATCATCAATCTTCCCCTTGAGAGCAGAGTATCTTGCATTTACTAGAGAAGACCCATCCTCATATGCACCAGAGGAGAAGTAGCAATCCATAGCTTCCACAACTTTCTGGCGACCAGCTAACGGCTTCGAGGCAAACATCCCGTTTCTCGGCAGGAAATCTGCCAGCAAAACCATCATAGTCCCATCAGCAAAGTCCCTTGGGTACTCATTAGCAATTCCGCAGTAAATCGAAGAAGTGTGAGGTGTAGCATACCAAAAGCCATTCTCTACCCCCCGGTCGCGATACGGGTTCTCGGGTCCATAAATACACTCCGTCGTCGCAACCGTAACCTCATGTTGCGTCCAAGCCCAAAGATCGACTTTCCGACCCACCTCGCGATCCCTCAATGTTGCACTAATTCCATCAAGACGAGACTTCTTGACTTCTGCCGCTCTTCTATTCATCGCAAGCATTCCGCCTTGTGGTGACAATGCGAATTGTATTTTCTTCAGCCCTTCAACTAGCAGACCATTTTCACTCGACTCGGGTTCCAGATTCGCTGCAAGATTACTTGATGAACGCTTGCTCATCCCGCCGAGTGTGGAGGTGAAATGCGCTTCGAAGAACCAGAAGGATGCGGCTTTTGGTTGGCGGTGGAGAGAGTGCATCAGCTCTGGAGAGCTGATGATATGGACTTTGCCCCCGAACATGGAGATTGAGAAGATGGGGAGGTTCCAGTTCTCACTGGTGACTTAGCGTTAATATGTGCTTTTGGAAGTTGGATTCGTGGAGGTTAGAGATAGGAAGATTACGAGCTACTTTACGTACCAGAGTCTGGTATAATACCCAGTTCTATGCCAGAAAAGACCAATTGCGTGGCCAATTAATGGAATCGTTGCGGGTGTACATGGCGGCTCTTGCGAGGGTATCTTTCCCTTTTGTCTGACTTGGAGAAGTTTCCGTACAAGGAGACTTGCGACTATAACGAAGAGAGCCAGTAATGTTCGGTTTTGGAAAGCGTCTGTCATTCTGATGTTTGAAGTTAGGTTTTTTGATCGTTGGCTTTTGGATTTCCATACCATCGAGACGGAAACAAACATAAATTGGCGTATCCAACATGTTGGTGTTGTTGGAACACACCTGATAACCACATACTGTTGGAAAGCGAGATGAGCTTTGTAGAAGTTGGCTACTCTGGAAAATAGCGAAGTGGAAAGTATTAGAAATCTTGAAAGAGGCGTGTGAATTCTGGGAAATTTCTTCCCGCTTATTTAGTAGTTTCCCCTTTGCTTGCCAGCGCCGAGGATCCTCCCACCTCGTTAAAAACTATTATTCTCAACGTCTAGTAAAAATAGGTTGATTATCTAGGCACAGTCTTTAATCCGAACTACTCGTATTCATATTAACATTTAAGCAACACGAGAACTTTAGAGCAATACTATCCAAGCTAGGTGTACACAGGGTAATGATCCTGTGTCTTGCTACATTCTTTTGCCCCTACTATGAAATAAGACACATGTGGAAGAAGAAATAACCTTCCTAACAATAAAAAGTTAACAGACTTAAGAATCAACAACACCCCTCAACTTCTCCCGCCACCCATCATACTCTAAAGACCACAAAACAGCCTCCTCCACCCCCCCTCAAAATCATCCACCGGTTCAAACCCCAACCTCTCCCTCGCCTTCTCAATACAGTAAGTATGGGTAAAGCACATATACTCAACCTGCTGTCTGCCCAATTTAAACGGTCTCTTCCTCCTTATCGTGAAAATCCAGTAGAACCACTCCAAAAACGAAGCAAGAACCAACAGTGCTGCTGCTGGCAGATACCAAGTTCTTTCATTCAGGGAAGGCTTGTGGCCAGCGTATTTCCAAGCGGTGCGTGCATATGACCAGAAGAGACGCGGATGGCCATCATTAATGTTGAATGCTTGGCCAGCGGCTGTTGGACGGGCTGAGTCGGGGTTTAATAGTGCGGAGGCAAGGAGGGAATGTGCTTTCGCTGCATTAAACACGCTACAGAAACTCCAGAGATTCTTTCCGTCGCCGAGGATGGTGTTTGTTTGGCGGTTTTGGAGGGCGTTGAGACAGCCTGGTATTCCTTGGGTATCGTGGCTTCCGTAGGTGATCGGGAAGCGAAGAGAGGCTGTGGAGAGGTGGCCTTCCCAAGACGAGTTTCTGGAGGGTTTCTTGAGGGGTTTGTTGGCTTCTAATACCATGATTTCTGCGATGGCTTTGGTCCTCGCGTATGGAGGCATCTGGGGATCCTCGTTGGCGAGAGAGCAATCTTCTGTCAGATTCAGGTGTTCTGCACCTTTGGCCATTGTTGATGAGGATGTGTAGATGAATGCCTGCAAATATTTGGAGTCTTTTGAGATTTTCAAGAGATTTTGCGTTCCACGAATCGTTACTAGTTCATATTCCTTGCGCGTTCCGGTGACTGCAGAGGGAGTGGCAGCGTGAACTATAACGTCGGGTTTAATTTCCAGAATTAAACGTTTGATGAGATCAGGATCGGTGAGGTCTCCAGTATGGTATATGGCTCCGTCGATGTGAAATTTACTACGAGTAGCTGATCGGCTGATAATATGAACAGAAGCAAATTCCGGGGTTTGGACGAAGTGTTTGACAAGGTGACAACCTAAAAAGCCGCAGCCGCCAAATATCAATACTGAATGGGACATTATCAACGTGTAGGAATTTAAATCCGATCCTGCTGTGAGAATCAACGAAAGGCGGATCGCGCACCCACATTGTTCGATGTTGGAGAACTGTTGGTTGTGTTGGCAAAGATTCACTGGCCTAAACAATCCACGTGCGTTTGATATTCTCGTCTACCTCCAACGATCAACTCCGAAGAATCATTGATCCATCTTCTGTCATTACAACGTCTTCGGAGTCGTCCATGAATACTTTCTGAGCACCTCTCTCAAGAACGACTTCCGTATTGACCTTCACAGACGTCCCAAATTCCTGCAGACTCCCCATCCATGCAGCCATCCCCTCATGATACAAGCCGCCCTCATATATCAATGGCTCAGAATGAATAATCAACTCAATATCAGAGTAGTCGCTTCGTGGTGAAGTGTTGGGATGATCGCGACTGAAGTTTGGCGATAAGATGGACCTTTCAAGTAACTCAGGCAGTCCGCTACGAATAGAGATTTCTTTGAGATTCGGGAGTTTTTGGCTTCTTTCTGCGGCAACGTTCTCAAATAGAATTTCCAAATCATTCGACCGTTCGGTCAGGTCGTCCACCAAAAGAGTAAAGGTCTCAATTGATGAAGGGAGAAGATCGCCGAGATGAGAGATGTCATGACAATGGTGCAATCTGCGTTCACATCCACTCACATGTAATAGACCAAGCAGAACGTTGATGTTAATTTCCAATTTTCTCAATCTCTTGAACCTTTTCATGGATGTAACAGCCACGGAAGTAGGGCACATCATGAATGTCAGCGTTTCCAGGGTTTCAAAGGTCGATTTTTCGACAACTCCCATGATGGCAGCCGAGTCTCTGAAGCCAGCGAAATATATATGGATCAGTTTCAGACTTCGCAATCGTGGTAACCTGGAGAGAAATATTTCAAGATCGGCCACCATCATGGGCGAATTGTGCGACTCAACAAGCTCAAGTGACCTTCCGAAAGTGTCCGCGTTCTCCACTCCGCTAGTATCGTGATCTCCAAGAAAGCCTTGTATCGCTACAGAACTTCCAGCATAGAAATTCTGCATAGATTTTATTGAGATAAATGGGTAGAGGGTGGTGATCATCATAGACGTTTGCAACCTATTTGGCGCGCCCGAGGGGAGAATGGTTGTAAGCTTCGAGAGACTTGAGGAGGAGTTTCGCGGATTGTTGGCCTTATGAACAATGTAGTTTAATAGCGCGGCTTGGTTAATAGGTAGACCTTTTGCAAGAAAAATAGTGCCCCATTCAAGGGGAAGAGACAACTCAATAACGTTAGGTAGCAATGTCAATAAAATCAATATGGCGACTGGGTAGTCCAGATGTCAGCCTACTTGGTCAAAAGTTGGATTGCAATCAATCGAGGAATGTTAGAGAAGAAATTTGGCACGCAGATAGGTAGACTATCAAGTCTTACTGTCCATAAGTCCCAAGAGGGAAAATAAACATATGTAACTCGATTGGAGCGTCCTAACCCACGATTTCACTTACGTTCATTGCGGTAGTTTCCTGTGCGGAATACTTGATGAATCACAAAGGGATCTCCACCAATTCTTTTCAGATATGAAGATTCTTCCAGGAGTTTCAATAAACTCGAAAGGAGGTCATGCTTCCGAAGCACGTGGGTGGGATGGTACTCCCTGAAATCTGCGTAAACAATATATCTCGAGATAGTAGGCGTGTCCGCGATCTCCAACAGTAAATTGAAAGGCGATGTGCAAGGTCTTCGCAAAGTGGAAGTGAAATTTTTATATTCTTTCCGCAATTCATTGTGACGTGAAAGATATTGGGTGCCAAGCCTGTAGATGGTTTTACATGACAAGGCGAAGTCCTCGAATTGTTCTGGGATTGTCTCTTTGATGATGAAGAGAAGAATCTCATCGGGAAGCGCTAGAAGTTCCATCTTGTCGACGAGGTTTTCGTCAGGCCTGAAGTTGTTTGTCGAGCTTGAAGTTGTGAAGTTGTGAAGTGAGAGTGAGGGGGCGAGATCGTCACTTGCAGTGAGTGCACCAGAGTGATTACTGTACGGCATTCCTTTATACGTCATCACACTTGCAAAAGGAGGAGTACGTCCTCTTGTACTGTAGGTCTAAGTAAATGATTTTACGCGTCAAACGTTACTAACTTATTCAATTATATTATGACTCGAATACAACTCTCTTCTAAGTTCATCTTCTATTCAATTGGAGGCAGTTATTATAACTACCTACTGCCTTTACTATTCGATAAGCGTATTATTTTCGTAATAGTAATTAAACAAAAAATAGTTAAGTAGGATTTCGTAAAGTACTATAGATATATTATATCTTCTAGCTAGTATTCACTTAACTCTATACTACTCTAATAAGTCAATTATTTTAAATAAATAGATTAGTAATCTACTCTCGCTTCTTAACCCTTTAAAAGGAGAAAAGCTACGTTTTACATAATGTTGCTTGCTTAATTGTTTCTGAGAGGTTTACTATGCTATACGGAGTATTATTATGTCAGGATGTTTTACGAAGTCTGAGTATATGACCAGGATAGGTACTGTGCTGTAGGTGGTGTTGTTGCTTACAAAATGAATGCGCCAATTGGAGACTTTTCCGGGGAATTTTGATCTGCTACAAGGGTCCTCGGAAACATCTGCCAAACCATAGTCGGAGACATTTCAAGAAACTAGTTACGAACTAGACTAGGAAACGCCACGATAATGGTGATGAGCCTAGTTAGATGTCTTCAGCTCAAGAGCTTTACAAATCAAATTAACTGTAGCTTCTCTAAACGTCTCAAGCGGACATCCGTTTAGTGGCTGCAGATGGAGTATATATCCATGAGGAATGCCCATTCAATTATCACCTCAACCAACATCAAGCTTAATTAGATAAGGACATCACCTACCTTCAACGCTCAATAAAAGGAAACGAATAAACATACCCAAAATGTCATCCCAATCAACCAACACCGCCTTCACAGCCCCCATAAACCCCACCGGGCAAACCCCCCTCACGCTCCCCCAGATCTGGAGCGCCCTTCGACTCAAGATCCGCTCAGCAGAAACCTTCGTCCCAGGCGGCATCTCATCCACCACCGTCCTCTCCTCATCCATCTCCCCCGAGACCAAAAACGAAGTGACCGTCCGCGAAGTCGTATTCACCGGCGAAGTCACCGCGGGGCAAAAGAAGGCAACGGAGACAGTCACCTTGTTTGAGGGCTCGAGGGTGGAATTCGTGCAGCCGAACGGCAGCAAGGTGCAGAACATCGTTAGTGAGGGAGAGGATGGACAGCTGTATATGACGTATGTTTTTGAGTGGATGCATCCGGGGGCGAGTGAGGAGGAGATGAAGGAGTTTGCGGAGAAGGAGAGGAAGGGGGCGAGGATGGCGGTTCTGGGGACGATTGATGTGATGAGGAAGTTGGCGGGGGATGGGAAGCTGTGAGGAGGGGTTGTTTGTTGTTCCTTTAAACCCCGATTTCTGTGTAGTTTAGATGGTAGATTAATTGAAGCTTAAAGTCCTATTTACTTAATTGTTTGTCTACCTAGGTACCCCCTGATACCCCCGCCTATCTTGGCACCATTGAAGCTTGTTGTGTCGTGCAATCAATAAACTGCCGAATATACTCGGATGCGAGAAAAACGGTTAATTAGGTAGGTAGGTAGGTAGGTGGACCCTGTTTGATACCTACCCCTTGGGGGTATCATTCTTCAAAAAGTATGGATATGTGTCCACTAAACCTCGTCCGCCAAGATGACAGTTCGAAACGTAGAAAAGTATCCACGGATCCAAGTTCCATTGTTTTGTCTATCCCCATCATAGCCAGACGTCCCCTTCCCCGTCCCCTTCCCAATGCGCCGTGCTAAGCGGGTTGCTGAGACTTGAGCTTTCCAGCAGAGTTTCGAACCACCAAAGCTCCTGCTCTCTTTGTTTCCTTCCATTCCTTCCATTTTTTCTTTTTTATCAAAATGTCGAAAAAAATGAGCTTCACCCCTTGGGCGCCCGCAAGGACGCAATACAAAGATAAAGACAACCTCAGCATTCATGTCCGCCGTTTTGATGAGTCGTATATGGTACGTGTCCAGAAGATACCTATATCTCCCAATGGCTCCCCACAAGGTACGTACCTACAGTAGTAGCACGTCACTAACGCGGTAGTTCCCCACAGGCGTCGGTGATGCGCCGCAGTCCCGCACGAAAGGCCATTCGAGGCGGAGCACTAGCCATATTTGTGTTGACCATCATCTATTACTTCTCCGGTTCCTTCTCCAGCTCGTACGTCGAAGTAAAGGATGCGACGAATTATCCCATATGGCCGGAGCAATACCCGGTGGTATCCCCAATTCCAATGCCTCGCGGGGCAAAGAAGGTGTCAAAGATCCAACACGACCTCGTGCCGGAAACTGCACAGGCGAAACAGCTGCGATTGAAGCGTTTGGCCGAGGTGAAGGAGGCTTTCCTGCACGCGTGGAGGGGATACAAGAATGAGGCTTGGGGACAAGATGAATTGAAGCCCATTGAAGGCGGATACAAGACACCTTTTTGCGGCTGGGCTGCGACGTTGGTGGATGCGCTGGATACTCTGTGGATTATGGAGCTGTACGACGAATTCGAATTGGCATTGAAGCATGTAGAGAAGATTGATTTTACGTATAAGGAAGGGTGCCAGATTAATTTATTTGAGACGACCATTCGCCATTTAGGTGGCATGCTGGCTGCGTGGGATCTCAGTGGCGGCCAATATCCAATTTTGATTGAGAAGTCAGTGGAATTGGCAGAAATTCTATTTACAGCTTTTGATACGCCCAATCGCATGCCCACCCCCCATTACACCTGGTCTGCGTATGTATTTTCTTTATTCTTTCGCTGGAAAATGTGCTAATTGGGCAACAGAACTAACCCTAAAGCAAATAACCACCAGCCCAGTCGAAGTATCGTCCTGGCTGTACTCGGATCCCTTTCCCTCGAATTCACCCGACTGTCACAGATTACTGGGAACGAGAAGTATTTCGATGGCATACAAAGAGTGATGAATGAACTGGAAAAATGGCAGGACGAAACAGGGTTGCCTGGGATGTGGCCCGCAACCGTTGATTCCACCAGGGTCAATGAGACAATTGCTCTCGGTTCTCCATGGAAAGGCGTCGAAGAGCTCTACACACTGGGTGCATTGGCCGATTCAACTTATGAGTACCTCCCAAAGGTAATTGTTGTCCTTCGAAGTGCGATGGGCCATACTGACATTTATAGCAATACATGATGCTTGGTGGAAAAGACCTAACATACCGAGTCATGTATGAAAAATTCATGAAAGTAGCGCGAAAAGATCTCTTCTTTCGACCTATGACAATGGGAGACGAAGACATTTTGATAGCAGGATCCGTTATGCGGACTGCAGGTGGCCCTATCACGCTTAAACCCGAACTTCAACATCTTGCATGTTTTACTGGAGGAATGGTAGCTATTGCAGGAAAGATCTTTGATAATCCAGATGATGTGGAAGATGGAGCTAGACTTGCGAATGGCTGCGTCTGGGCTTATCGAAGTACCGTCTCTGGAATCATGCCGGAAACTTTCACGGCTGTCCCTTGTAAGGATAGAAAGACTTGCTCTTGGGATCAGAAGACTTGGATGAAAGCCGTTCTCGAATCCGGAGACGAGACGGAAGTAAGCGACAAGGTTATGTATAATAAGCTTGCGCCTGGGATGGTGGGGATTCAGGATGGACGGTATCTTTTGAGGTATGTGGATTTCTTCTTTTCTATAATTATTCCTTTTCCCACTTTCACGGCTTGGAAAAAAGCTACCTTCCTCCCTACGAAACAAGCCCCCAAATCGGGTTCGAAACAAATCACATCACCTCAAACACCCCTCAGACCAGAAAGCTAACAAATTCCCAGACCCGAAGCAATCGAATCCGTCTTCATCCTCCACCGCATTACCGCCGACCCATACTGGGCGAACTCAGGCTGGGACATGTTCAAATCCATCATGGCGCACACGAAAACCGACATCGCCCACTCGGCGGTAGATAACGTGATGGACGCGCTGCCCGTCAAGGTCGATGAGATGGAGAGTTTCTGGTTGGCGGAGACTCTCAAGTATTTCTATATGCTGTACTCGGATCCGGGGGTTGTGGATCTAGATGAGTTTGTCTTGTGAGTTTTTCCTTTTCGACGGGAAAAGATTGATGTAGGTGTTTTGAGTGTTTTTACTAATGTGTGAGATATAGAAATACGGAGGCTCATCCTTTGCGGAGACCTAGGTGAAGCAAAAGCAGATGAAAGGTCAGGCCAGGGCATTTTTTGAGAAGGAGTAAAGATGGGCCTCTCTTGTACTTTTTTCTCTTTGTTTGGATGAGATTGCATGTATGCATATTTGGCGTTTTACGGGGTGGTCTGGGTTTATAGCATTTTCGTTTTTTGGGGGGAGCGAGATGGGGGGAGAGGAAATAGGAATCTTTGGATCTTAGGAGCTTAAGGGGTTAGCGTAATAGGACAGAGAGATGACTTTTAGATTTTCTATGGTAAGAGAGGTGGGCATGACTCTGTTCACGCGATTCAAAGTTGTTATGCCAAAAGTCTGGCACAACTTTATTAATTGTCCTCATTTACCTAGGTTCACAAGGAGTGAGAAGTATCAATTATCCAAGCTCTTTATACAACCGACTATTTTCGTTATGCGACGTTTTTGGAATAATTTTAATCTAAGAGAGGTGTGTAGAGTACAGAGAAATACCCCTGCCTCTCTTGCGTGTATAGTTGAGATCATCGAGGGGTATTCTGAAAATATTTGGCTTTTTCTATGGGAGGCAGATTATATGGTTTGAATGCTTGTGTTATTCAGAGCTTTGGAGTGTGCTACCTTTTCTTCTCTAAATCTCTGACAGTTGGATTTGTAAAGTCGACTTGATGTTAGCGCTATGTTTAAGGGGTGTGGTAGCTATGGTAATTGGAAGCTATACTTTAACGTTGATCGGTAGGATATTCTTTCTTTAAATTTTCCCTTAAGGTTAGTGAAAGGAGATGAAGGGAGAAAGTAAGGAGATAGTTTAGGATGAATTATTTTAAAATACGGTAATTATATAATTCGAAAGAGACGTGTGAGAATTCTGAGGATGTGCGGCTACCAGCCGTTACACAGTGATAGAAATATTCTGGACCGTACAGCCCTTCGATTGGTACTTTGACTCATAGCTTCCATCAAAAACACTGCTCAACCATGTAACCGCTCGCGGTCTGCCATTCGTAACTTCGCCAGTATGATCGCCCACAAGATTCCGTTGATAGAGAATATTAGCTTCCTGGCTGCAATATCTTTCTATCATTAGATCTGCATCTTCAACCAGAGCGACTTCATCTCCAACTGCCTGATAGACAAACATTGGCATTCTTGGAACCCCATGATGACCTAACTGGCCTCTGAAGCGAAGGCTTGTCTTATTTCCGGTGCTTCAAGATCGGCTTGGCCGTGAAGTAGGTAGTCGCTTATGTTGTGAAATGCGAATCCGGCTAGACTTTCGTTGAGCGACAGGGTGCGAAAGGCTAGTAAGCTGGTTCGATTGAATGATCCTTCCGTTTTAGTGTTGGTGTAGAGAAGATCATGGAATGCACGATGTTGGGTACTCAAGCCCAGAATTGCGTTCGGGATGAGTCCAGCAAAGATCTTGCCATCGACAGCTCCTAAAACGGATCGGATATTTGAGGGAGTACCGCCCAATACAACTCTTGATATCTTGAGTTCTGGGGCGTAATCAGCTTGAAGTTCTGCCGCCCATCCGCTTGCCAAAGCGCCTCCTGAGTATCCCCACATTGCAGATCGAGTATTTGGTAATAGTCCGAGGTTTGATGACAAAACTGCGCGAATTGAATCGAGAGTTGCATGGCTGGATTGTGCACCTGCGCCCAAGGGTGCTAATGGGCCCTCGTAGTCGGGAATGTTTACCCAGATTCCCCTCCCGAGCATATCAGGTATTTCAGCCAGAACGTTGGAGGGTTGAAATGAATAGCTTGGGCTTGAATCCAAGTTCGCGCTGTCGTAAGCTATTTGGTAAGATAGCAGAGCTTGGTTTGCTCCGTGTGCAGGCAAGGAAAGGTTGTTTGGTGAATTGGCTGGAGTAAAGAGAGTTGTGACGGCCCATGATGGGCGGTGGTGAGTATCCGTTGTGCGGAAGAGGATGTTGTATGCTTTTGAGGAATTTGAAATGATGGATGTTAGATTTCCTGGAGCTATTCGAATTCGAAGGATTTCTCCGGGCTTTGCGGATTGGTAATCGTCAGGGGCTGTGTAGAATGGATCGATACTGGGAGGTAGAGGGAGTGACTGAGTTCTCTCGAGGATTGTTGGGAGTGCTGATGAGATTGAAGGGCATCTTTTTGGTAATAAAATATATATTCCATGTCCATCACAACGGGCACAAACATCCGTTGGTGTCAACATACATTATTTACAGAGAAACTGTTGAAGGAGATAACCTTACTCCACGATTGAGGACTGAGGTAGGATACGGCGAGTTAATTGCGCCGCCCGTGTCATCCATCTGCATTCGGCTACAGAGTCTAGCCAAAATGGAGTAACGAGACGTAACTAAATGATGAAACACTAATCAGACCGAAGGCAGAATTCGGATGCTTTTCAAAAACGAATCTGTGAATAGATGACATTGTGCGGGCAAACACAGGACGGAGATGACTATGAAGGGCTTTAAGTCCGCAGGTAGGTAGTCTTACAGTATCCGCATTCATGTTAGCTGACCCTGAGACGACGTTCTCTCGGCTTTGAAAGTGTAAGATGATACTGATGAGTTCTTTTATAAGAGGGCTGAAATAAAAGGTGCTATGAGAATCTAGAAGCCCCCGACGGGATGTAGTAGTGTATATCACGTGTTAATTCCTACGGGAATTGACGAACTGATATTGGTGATCCAGGGTATGATTTTGTGAGCAACCTGGGAAACCGATTTTGATGAGACCACTTTAGATAGAGCTGGTGTAAAATATGTCGTAGTATTCAAAAGCACTCATGCTTATGAAACTGGCTGAGAACTAGTACAGTACTCGCTTAAACAAATCTAATTCCAATAAATGGGGAACGTGTTTTTACTCCACTTCATACACGAGATTCTTTTCGGTATATTTGCATCAATTTTTCAGGTTAAAATTGCCGAAATAATGCGACAGTCCGACTGGTCCTGGATAAATTCTCCTAAATCTGTCGTGGAACCTACTCTACCCACAAAAATAGATCTGCAAAATGAATACCACGTGTGGAAAACCAGAACCCTGATCTTGATCAGTAAAATATTGCATTGTTATATTTGCATGCCAAGCGAATATGTATTCTTATTGGCCTGGTCAATTGGGATAGAAAACATCGCCATCACGCCACTCCCACTATACTTAAATCTCTGAACCACAACTCCAGTCTCATTATCAAGCCGTGACTCAACCCAGCTTTCCATGTTTTCCAAACACTTCCGAGATCATTATTGCGCCACAAAACTACTGGGGATCCCAAAATTTATATTTTGGGTGCTAGCACTAATTGCTATTGTGGTTCTTGTAGTACCCATTGCAATTATGTTCGGAAGAAACAAGCATCACATGAAAACTATGGTTTTGGTACCCTTATACATATATCCCACTTACCAAGCTTGGGACCCTTTGCTCGAAGCGTTTGTTCCTCCCGTACTATTCCCCAGAAACAGAAAACTTGATTTGCTAACAAATATTCCTCACAGAATCGAATCCCATCCCTCAACAACGTTCGCTATAATCATCAATCCTCAAAGCGGTCCTGGGCCGAATCCTGTCCCTGATACAAATTTCACAATTCAAATTCCACGACTAAATCAATATCATAATGTGTTGAATGTAGGATATGTCCCTACAAATTACTCGCATAGACCTTTGGAATCAGTGGTCAGTGATATCCAGACTTACGCGAGGTGGCACTCGAATGCCCTGCGGGGAATGGGCTTGAGTGGGATTTTCTTGGATGAGACTCCGAGTGAGTGGAGTGATGAGGCGGGAATGTTTTACCAAAGCATTGAAAGTGTGATACGGGGAGTCGGTGGGTTTGGAAAGAGACCTTTGGTATGTTACATATTTTATTATCGTTTTTTGAAAACTGCTTCCATGCGTTCGTACTTTGATTTCGTGGTTTGAAGATGTGCAGGTCTGATGAAACGATGGTGGTTAGAGGATACGTTGTATTTTTTTTCAACCGATGTGGATATATGCACGTATGATGTAGTTTTGGTTTCCCAATATATCGTGATGCAACATACTGCACACGGGATATTGAGTTCAAATTGTTCATTGTGGGGACCGGACTACAATAAATCGTGTTTTCACTGACACTGGCAGATCATTCATAATCCTGGAACTGTACCGTCACCAAAATACCTTCCATATACTGATCTCAATGTTATATTTGAGGGCCCCTACAATACCTTTCAAGCGAAATCCTTCGATATCATGGCGTTCATGAAATCTACTCGTATATCGAAAGACAAACTAGTCTGTTTGGTACACTCATTACCACAGGATATGTCACTTGAGGACCAGGGTAACTTCTTGAAGGAGTTGAAGAAGCTCGCGGGAGCCGTCTTTGTAACTGGATTAAGTGAGAATTACTATACGACATTTTGGAATGGCTTTGAGAACTGGGTGTCACAATTGGCGAAGAAGTGAAATCTTAGTGTATTGGGAATGACTTAGAATGGAGCAGAAATTGGGGGTCTGCAGGAGAAACGTAATGCTATTGTGAAATTTACGAAGCAGCACTAAGGCAAACTGGGTTCTCCGCATCTCGGAGTCATCTGGTTGAGAAATGTGACAAAGCAGTAGGCAACTTCCACAGCATTGGACCTCAAACTTCCTCTTATTGTTCAAAGAAATATGAGGGAAGCTCCGAGTCGTTGAAAAGCTTCTTTGACATCGTGTTAATACTACCTCGATATGAGAAAGGCTCTTCACGTGATCAACATCGCTTCCCCAACTTTCGGCTGCGGCCGTCTTGGCCCGCAGGTTAATATCAACTTCCACACAACTTCGTATTCTTCCATATCACAACCATTTATCCACTTCTGCGCCATCCCCAGTACGGAAAATTTCTCATCTTGAATGGTACATCCGAGTTTTAAGCATGTCATATATAGTCTGGATATATGCATTTGGAAAATTGGCTCGTCAACCCGGAATCATTCGCGATCATGAAGCCTAGGCTTATGTACCCCGCCAATCTCTTCTCTCACTTGCGTCTAGACCGTAACACAACCTTCCTCCGTCAGCCGTCTATCTGATTTGGACATACAAGGCAGGTAAACCTTGTTCCCAAGTAAACCTTGATCCATGATATGCTTGTCGAGGCATACGAGATATTCTACCCATCACCTCGTCGAATTCTACGCCCTTCTCGTCCGAGAGGTAAGTAACAATGGTAGAGAAGACGAGTATGATTACGAGAACAACATAGACATACACTTGACTTGTGAAAACATGTCCGTATGTCCTAATTGGCGCTTGGGACAGATTCGTGGCTCTCTGTCGTTTCTGGGGCAATATCGGCCTGGTTACACATAAGATATTTTCATGCCACGCGGCTTTACTAGGTGTTGTGAATCTTAGCATACTTTCTAGAGTCACTAGATCGTCAGTACGCGTCTTGCATGCGCTCCATGGGGATCGATGTGCCAAGTCATATTGGACCAGGAGCTCGGGGCTGGGTGCGTGATTGCAACCATCCTTTCTTGACGCATACTGGTTGTGGCAAGGAATACGACAGGGGCATGTGTCTTTTTATTTTATTTTTGAGAAGTGTTTCCTTTTTCTCTCGCCCATCTTTTATATACCGTCTCCAGCGGCAGATTCGTTGCCACTTTCTTTTTGCTCAATCCTGTCATCCGTCGAGAGATTTCACAATGCTATCCAGTTTAAGTTTCAAAATTGCTCTGCTGGCACTTTTGCTCTTTGGTAGCCATGCTTCATCGGATTCAAATACCGATGTTGCCATTAAAAAGCGAAAAGCGAAACACGAACATCTCCAAATACCAGCAGCAACCCGAGAGGCCACCCCAGTCGTACCCACTCTTCTTGCGAAGGTAGGCAATGGTATGGTTAAGTTGAATACATCGAGTAGTCCCGCCAGAATTGCAAAACCGGTTCCTCGTGTTGCAGTCACAAGTGTTGCCAGCACTATTTTGATATTGGCGCGCGATCCTTCGTCGTCATATTCTGCCTTCTCTAGCCTCAATGGTTATGGTATTCCATACCAGGTGGTCTTGGTTCCAGAGGAGGGTGTCATGCTACCACCTTTGAATAGCAGTCAGACTAAGGGAAACTACGGATCAATCGTTGTTTTGTCAGAAGTTAGCTACCAATACGACGACGAATTTCGAAGCGCTCTCACAGATACACAATGGGCACAGTTATATCAATATCAAGTCAATTTTGCGGTCAGGATGGTTAGACTTGATGCGTTCCCGAATCCTGAGACTGGAACAGCAGCATTGGGTTCTTGCTGTGATGACGACGTGGAGCAATTTATTAGTATTTCTAATTCGAGCGCATTTCCAGCAGCTGGACTTAAGCAGTAGGGCTTCCGTAACCATCCGAAGATAAATTTCTGACAAAATACTAGAGGCGCAGGTGTCAGTACCTTGGGACTTTGGCATTATCCTGCCCAAATTACGAATGCGTCTGAAGCAATTGAGTTTGCCCAATTCGCACCCGCAGCGACATTCGGCTCGAAATCAACAGCAGCAGTCATTAATACCTTTGGGGCAAGACAGCAGGCAATTGAAATCTTCGTTCCACATTTTCTCCATAGCTCACTAGTCTAGATGGTTTGGTTTATCGGGTTTGCGACTGAATGGAGCGCAACGTCGAACTTTCTCAATCATGCTTGGATAACATGGGTAACAAGAGGGCTTTACACTGGATATCGACGAATAAATTTCAACACCCAAGGTTCGTTCTCCAAATAGAGAGTATAAAGGGTTATCTGACTCACCAAATAGTCGATGATATGTTTTTAGTCACTGAACTTTACAGCCCTGCCGGGACCGAGTATATAATTGGTCCCACGGATTTAGCTCAACATATTCCCTGGATGGTAACTATAAATAATAGCTTACCAAAAGGTAGTTCATATTTCATTGAGATTGGGCACAACGGAAACGGAAATATTGAGGTACGCTTTTAAAACATAACCTGTAATGCATTACTAACATGATGTAAGGATGCCGCCAATACAACAAGAGGAGAGAGAATGTGTGGAATTGGACCAATTGAATACGATGAGCAGATTGATACGCCGCTCGAATTTGCTAAACCCATGGGAACGGGAATCAATCTTTGGCCTGCTCAGCCTAATGACTATCCGTATACCGCATCGTGTACCAATCTTGACTCCCTCAAAACATGGTGGGCAACAGCAGCAAACAGAGATGCTTTTGCTCATGTTAGCCACACATTCACGTCAGTTCTCTTAGCAAGGCTTGCCGAATCATCCTAATTGCTAACTTCTAAGTCATGAGGATCAAAACAATGCGACATATTCCGATATAACTCGAGAAATTTCTTGGAATGCGGCTTGGCTCATTCAAGTCGGCTTTTCGAGTGGTACGAGATTCAGCCCAAAAGGTATTATTCCTCCCGCGATTACAGGGTTGCACAATGGCGATGCACTAAGAGCTTGGAAAGATAACGGTATAATTAATGTTGTTGGTGATAATACACGTCCTGTGCTCATGAACACCGTAAGTAGAAAGGAAGCCACCGACCTCTTTTCCGCACTTGACTGACAGGAAAATCGACAGAAAAATGAACATTGGCCACTCATCACGACCGTTGCTGACAATGGCTATGCGGGAATTCAAATAACTCCACGCTGGGCCACGAATATATACTACAACGTAAGTTAATTATAGTATCGCCAAGATAACCTTCTAACGAAATGACAGTGCGCCGTTCCTGATTGTACTGTTCTCGAATGGCATAACACTGCCCATGGGACCGGAACATATAAAGATTTGATTGACACCGAGAAAAACACCAATATCCGCCATCTTCTTGCTCTTCATCATGATGCTTTTATGTTCCACCAAGCAAACATGAATACCATCACTGTTCCTGTACCTACAAGCACTCTAAACGGCGTCAGCGGAAAGTACTCTATGCTGCAAACTTGGGTTGGTACTATGGTACAGGAGCTTACACGGCTGTGAGTTGAGACCCTGAATGCTACCTCACAGAAGCTGACCATTCAAATCAGTGTCACTTGGCCAATAATTTCTTTGAAACACGATGATGTAGGCTTTTGAAACCCCAAATTGACTCGCTAAATACTTACAGCTCGATAGTTGGCGCTTTCATTTCTGAGTCGTATGAATAGGGACGCGTGTAAGCCAGTCCTCACTTATTCAGCAGAGCCGAGCCAAAAGATTATTACTTCCGTCACCCTCACTACAACCGGCAACATTTGTTCAGAAAAGATACCGATTACAGTTCCAGGTACTGTAACGGATACCAAGGGATTTGTCACTGAACAGCTTGGTATGATGTTCTAAAACCCCCATACAATCACTTGCTCATGTCCGATTTTAGGAACTGATCCCTTGACAATATGGGCTCAGATGTCCGGCTCTCCATTGACCTTTACTTTGTCGCCTCCTATTTCTTTCTACTATTAAAAGATGATCAATTTCATGCCATTAGGGTGTACGATAAAGATTAAGCTCGTATACGTGAAACGCAGGTACAAAATTCAAAATATGCAGCTACAGTATCACTACAAACAAAACTGCAATAACAGACAACTTGGCGTATTTTATTATAAGCGTCTTTAAGTATAACAACCCGCTGTTTCAAAATCCACATAGTGATGATAGACAGCTTCTTTTTGCTTTTCGCTTTTTCGTGATCCGCCTCTCAAGCTATCGCTTAAAAAAAACCTTTGAAATCTAATAACCACCGATTCCTTCTGTCTCATCTGCAACTCGAAAAGGCATAGAACCAATTTGCACACTCAAAGAGAATATTAGGAATGCAAAAAAAAATTCGTTACTATTCTCATATTCTTATACCTCGCCGCTCTGAGTCAAATACTACCGTAGATCAGTACTATACCCTAAACGTACTCGTTCTACATAGTCCTATCAATTGTAAAGCCATCGAGCATTTCCGAGTCTCTTCCATTACTGTGTTTCTTATAGTCTAGTTACTCACAACCCATCACCGTGTTATGTCAAGGCAATCTTTCCCAAAGGGATACCTACCGTTCTAGAAATAAGCACTACGAAATGCCAGAGCCAGTTTAGTCAAGGTTACTCCAGAGAGCCAGAGAAATCATCGCGTGTGACAGTTTTTGATTTAGTGAATAAGGGTTCGCTTAGCGAAGTTGCGGGTGTACCCTTCCGTAGATAGACAAATACCTAAGGAGTGCGAAGAGCGTCTCTCTTCCCTCCTTCCGAACAATCTATTCCTTGATCCCCACCATAACATCGCGGAAGGAAATTTCGTAGCAGAATAATAGAGATACCAAGATGCTACGTAAAGAAACCCAATAATGATCAAGAGGACCTTTGCCATGTATTAGGAGCTAATGTGCTCATCTCGTATGTTCACCGATCTTGGGGATACACAACAACTATTCTGACAGGATCATATTTGCAGAGTCCACATGGCACACACCCCTCTACCCACGTCAAAAACCATTTACCAGTTGACCGAATCATTTTTCTGACAGTTCACTCTTGAGTCTTATACATACGGAACGGACATGGGCGGATCGGGCACGGAACCACTAAACTTTTAATCACAAACTTTCAATTATAAGCAAGTCTCTTATACAGATCTTTAAATTAGAGGAGGTAGATAACTGTACCCTGTAAAAGAAAAGACGTAGTCGTTACTCTATATATACCTCAGAATAAAATTGTTCTAAAAGCGTTATATAACTAAAATAGTTCTATAACGTGCATGTATAGCGAACCGGCCAAACAAGCGAACCGGCCAAAACCCGGCGACCCCACCACACCTCCACGAAATATTAAATTTCTCTACAACGAAGGATGCCTCTGAAAAATGACGAAAGCCGGTTAGTCTTAGCTATCCAAGCTATGCAAAAAGACCCAAATTTACGTGCTCGAGCTGCTGCTAGGACCTATTCTGTAGACCACCGGAAGCTAGGTCGATGTTTGCTTGGTATACCTTCACGACGCGATATTTTAGCCAATTCACGGAAAATGACCGAGCTAGAGGAATCAGTACTTGTTCAACATATCCTCGACCTAGCTAC